GGCTTTACAGCACGGTGTACGCTACTGACCTTTCCCTCCTCTCGTCTCCTTCTTCCTACCTGCCACCCGTTGCTCATTCCCTTCGTCTCTTCCTTCCTTGTTCTCCGCCTTCACCTCTTCCTCCCCTCCCTCTCCTCGCTCTGACTCTCGGCAGGCGAGCATGCAAGAGGCCGTGGGGTCGCTGGCGAGTAGCTTGAGGAGGGAGCTCGAGCTGCAGAGCGACAGGATCTCCCAGCTGGACCATGACCTCAAGGCGGCGAGGACGGAGAGCAGAGGCAGCAGCAGGCAGGTGGAGAGCAGGATCAAGAGCGTGGAGGAGGCGGCGGAGGAAGGGGAGCGGAGGGTCAACATGAGCCTGGAGCGTGTGAAGGAGGAGCTGGCGAGGGCGTCGGAGAGGAGCGGGAGGAGAATCGATCAGCTTGAGGAGAGCGTTCACGAGGGGAGGGCGGCGGCAGACGTGTGGAGCAGCACCGTGTCGCAGCGATGCCAGGAGGTGGAGAGGAAGATGGCGAAGCTTGAGCGAGACTGTCAGTCCCTTCCTCCCTCCCGTCTTCTTTGCTCCTTCCTCCGCAGCTTCCCTTCCTCCCCCTATCCTTGACTTCTCTGCTTTCCCTCTCTCTTCAACCTTTCCTCTTCTCCCCTCCTGTCCTCATTCTTCTCCCGCCTCCTCCTCGCCTTCCTTTCCTTCTCCCTCTTGTTCTCCCTCCTTCCCTTTCTCTTCACCTGCTGTTCTCCTTCTGCTGCTCATGCTGCCCCTGCAGTGTTCGCATCGTCGAGCGGGTCCCGAGGGCTCGAGCAGGTCGAGAAGGAGAGCCGAGGATATGGAGAGCGCGAAAGATTCGAGGCGGGGGGAGGAGGAGGAGGAGGAGGAGGAGGAGGATCGGAATCAGGAGGAGTCGTTGGAGATCTGAACGCCAAGTTGAGCAAAACTCGTGACTTCCTCCTCAAGAAGTTGGAGGTAGGCAAAGGAGGAAACCCTCCTTTTCTCTTCTCCTCCTCCTCCCCTGTCTCCCCCAGTCCTCTACATTTTCCTTCCTACTTCCTTTACTGCTCACGATGATTCGTTCTCTATACTTTCCTTTGTCTCCTCCTCTTTCTGACTCCTTCCTCCAGGAGCTTCAAGTGCATCAGAGTCGCCAGGACGAGAGCCTGCAGAAGTACAGGATGGAGATCGAGGACGCGGCGAGCAGGGTGGGGAGCAGGGTGGATCATGCTCTGACGGAGCTGCGCGGCGACACGACAGTGCTGCACAGGCAGATGGAGGAGGAGAGGAATCTGAACCAGCAGCAGCTGTCGGATGTTCGCAAGGTACAGGAAGCTTCCTCTGCCAACGAGCCGCTGACGCTCTTCCTTTCCTGCAGACGATCCAGGCGTTGCAGGAGGAGATGAACTCAAACTTGCGAGCGGAGGTGGACAGGAGCGAGGAGGAGGAGCGGAGGAGGCTCCAGGCGATCGCCAGCAGGGTGCAGAGCCTGGAGGAGGAGGTGAATGGAGAGGAGGGAGTCAAGTACAGGATCGACATGCTTGCGATCAGACTGGATGAGCAGAACGTCGAGCTGGTGTCTGAGTTTCAGCGGCAGCATGCTCTGCATCTGGAGCTGGTGAACGACATCAAGGTCGAGCTAGAGAAGCAGCAGAGAAGGATGGAGGAGGGGAAGGAGGCTGCGGCAGCGGTGTTTGAGCAGGCCAGGGAGGATATGGCAGCACAACGGGTGGAGATAGAGGAGAGCGTGAAGAAGGTGGGCGAGCAGGTGGGGCAGGTGGAGGAGGAGGTGGCGAAGGTGAAGGAGATGATCGGGGAAGTGGAAGGGAGCTTGAGAACCTCGCAGGAGGAAGGGCTCCGAGAGGTGGAGGAGGACATGAAGCAGATCCGTAAGGTGCTGGAGGTGACTAGGACGGAGCTAGAAGCGCTGGCTCGGGAGGAGGAGTGCAGGCACGTGATGGAGGGTATGGTGTCCTCGCTCGTCGTCAAGGAGCAGGAAGCCTTGCTCCGCTTTGCCATCGAGGACGCTAAGGCCGTTGCCGCCGCCTCCGTGGAAGAGCTGGGGAGGGAGTTGCTGGAGAGGAGAATTCCCCCGCTGATCAAGGAGGAGATGCAGGAGACGGTGACGCTGAAGCTGCTTCCTCTGTCGCAGGACTTGCGAGAGGTGGAGGTGAACCTGTCGGATCATGAGGTGCAAGCTCAGAACCTCCGGGAGGACGTGGACAGGAGGGTGGATGTCCTTTCAGACCGCATCGAGCTCGCGCTTGCAAACTTGCAGACTACAAGCAGCGCTACGGTCACGGCCCAGGAGAAGATGGGGGAGCTTGGGGGGAAGTTGGCGCAGATGGCGGAGGAGGTGAAGAGAGCAGGGCAGAGGAGCGAGGACGAGGCCGTGAGGGGGAAGGTGGACGACTTGCTGATGGCAGTTGAAATGCTCCACGGGCAGGAGGGCATGCGGCAAGAGCTGTCGCTCCGTGTTCAGGCCCTGCAGGCGTCGGTGGACGTCTTGACCAAGGCAGTGGAGCCATTCGAGGAGCTGAGGAGGAGCATGCAGAGCAGCACGGAGGAGGTCAGAAGCATCAAGACAAGGATCGAAGAAGTGGACAAGATCGTGGAGTCGTTGAGCGAGATTGTCATGGACGAAGGAGGGAAGAAGGTAACTGTCCTCTGATCTGCTTGCTCCTCCCTCGACCTCCTCCCTGTTTAGGAATCGTTCCTTCTTCCTCTTCCTCCTCTTCCCCTTCTCGTACATGCCTTCACTTCGGCTGTGAAGAAATCATGACCTGATCCTTCAGGGGGCGGAGGAAACGTCGAGCGAGAAGGATCTCGATGCTGCCAGCGAGGGGGACGAGCTCGTGGACCCTTCCGTGTCACAACTCGAGCCGGTTATGGAGGAGGAAGAGCAAGCAATGGATGATGAAGCGAAAGAAGGGCAGGCAGAAGAGGTACTAGCAGCTGTACAGGAGGAAGCGGCTGGCGAGCAGGGAAAAGCTTCTCAGGAGGAGGTCAAGGAAGGGAGGGAGGAAGGGAAAGAGGAGGAAGGGAAAGAGAAGATCAATCAGGAGGAGAAAGCGCTGGAAGGGAAAGAAGGGACTGAGCCCAACTAGGGCGGAGAGCAGACAGTGAAGCAAGATTAAGAGATTTGGATGTATATAAGTGTGATGATGATTAGGATGTTAGGTGGTTTTCTTTGCGTATACTCTAGTATCCTAATGATTTTGTAACAAATATTTCACAGAGGCGAGGTTTTGTCACTTTGTTTCAATCTTAACCTCTTGCAATTGGTGTAACTTGGCGCAGTGAGGGTGCTGGCCGTTGCACTTGATTTTCAACCGCTTGCATGACAAGCACGCCTGGTCACAAGGTTACATCTGACTCAATGAGCGACGTTAGATCAGTCACCTGGTTGAAAACTTGCTTGCCCGTACACCCCTGAAAGCAAAGGTGTCAGGAAACGAAGACTAGAGCAGGAGCAGGAGCAGGAGCAGGAGCAGGAGCTATCATAACAAGCATTCTCACCAGCTTTCCTTGCCCACAAACTCTCTTCTTTCTCCTACAGTCTGGACAGGAGACAGCGCAGCTATACGGTCCCCTCTTATTCTTGGATTTCGATTTGATCGCATTCGCTTTCATGATACTCTGATAGCTCCCGATGCCCACCACAGACACCTTCATATTCTGCTCCCGATAGTACGACGGCTTCGACGAGTCCAACGAGTCCACTACTCTGATCGCGCCGCTCGCTGCAGGGTAGATGGCAGAGGGCCTGGAGAGGACGGGGTTCGATTGGTTCAGGAGACGATGGGAGCTGGCGTGCTCCTGCTTGTCTCGGTGTTGGCACACATGCGCAATGGTACTCAGTCGAATCTCAGTCGGCTTGATGAAGGTGGAGATTGTATCTGGTATCAATTCAGACGTCTTGAGCATGCTCATCACTTCTTGGAACGAAGGGAGAGGCAAAATTTGATCGGCTTGCATGATCTCGAGAAAACCAGGTCGTTCTCGAAGCCTTGGGATCTGCATTTTCTGTCAAAGCATGAAAGCAACACTATCTTGATACATTTTTCAGGTCAACTCGTGCATTTCCCACATGAAGGTGTGTTGTTCCTAACTTGGATATGCAATATCTTAACTTCTCATATTCTACTGCATGGTTGAACTATATCGTGCCTCCGACCTCCTCTCCCTACTTCCAACAATTTTTTGATCTCAACGAACATTTACTGCTGTTTTTTCCATCCTCCAAGTTTGTTTCAGCGCAACTTGTCCTTCCATTTATCTCTTTCTTTTTTCTCACATCTTCTCTCGCTCTACATGCTGTGGGCTCCTCACTTCTGTCCCTGCATCGCAAGCTTGTCGCTGCGCTCATCATGTTGTCTTCAGGCATCTGGCTGATTTCCCGAGCTCTGGGATACATGGTCCGAAGTGAACCTGATTAGAGGGTGGGTAGTACTACCCTACCCCTTCTAAAGAGTCTTGAGAAGCATAAAAGTGGACAAAGTCTGTGGTAGGTATGTCGAGCTTTATTACATTGAGGGTAGGGGTACCCCCCCCCCAAAAAAAAAACATTCAATATGTTTCCAAGTACCCCCGTTTGCAAACCATTTTCATCTGTAATAAGGGGGTAGGGAGTAAGGAACCAGGGTCAGCATATTCGGGGAAGGGCGGTGCATTATAAAGATGTCAAGGCTGGGTGGGTGGGTGGCTCCGAGCTCAAAAATAGGGGTGGGTGTCTAGAAGTCGATTGGTGGTAGGGTACTTTGAGCTTTAGCGTAGTCATTATGGTTAATTTCGATCAGTTACATTATGGCTGAGGTGGGTGGCAGAGTTTGAATCGAGGTAGGAGGGGTGGATGGCAGTACTTACTACGATCATATGGAGGGGTGGTCGAAAACTTTTCTGGGGGTGTAGTAAATTACTGGGGTATTGGAGGTAGGGGTCCTCTTGGACTCGCTCCACGGAAAATGCCGGGACCGGAAATTGCGGTGGTCAACCATGGGGTACTGTTGCAGTACAACGAGGGGGTAAAGGGGGTACAATCAGGAGGTACAGGGGGTACTGAGAGGTACTGAGAAGTCACCTTGAGCATGAAGGGTACCTAGGGTGGTGCCAAATGTCACACGGCGTCACCCTACAGAAGTTGACAACTTGCCCACGGAAAGAGGGGTACTTCATAGGGAAAGCAGGGGTACGGTGGTAATGAAGGTTGCAGTCTTCCGCGTTATCTGCGTACATACCAGGTGCCACCCCGGTAATACCGCGACTTCGGGGAAATTTTCGATGGCGGTGCTTCGGAGTTGCCTTTGTCAACTTTATTCCAAATTTACACAAATGTTGTTCTGTAAATTGAATATTAGATTAGTAATATTTAAAACTGTCGTGAAATTTTATTTTTAGGAGTCACCCATAGGCGACATAGTGTCGGGGTCAAGCCCTCTGCCTCGTACTGACTTTTAACTTAACTTTGAGTAAAGCAACTGCTGCGGTGAGCTGACGAAATTAACTGCACAAACCCAGACCCGCCTCAGAGACTCCTCCCTTTACAGGCGGCTGAGGTAGTGACTCGCACTGAGCCGGCGACTTGTCAAGCTAGGCCCGGCCGGGCCCAAGGGCCTCAGCGGGGCCGGCATCACTGGCAGAAAGTGTATGTGGCCTCGGGCCCGGCAGAGATAGAGAAGGAGTGCATCCAACTAATAATAATGCAAGATCCGCTTGTTGACGTATGGGCACAGCCGACGAGGTGCCGACGAGGAGGCCAGGCATGAGCGGAAGAGAAGGAGAGAGGAAGAGAAGGAGAGAGGAAGAGAAGGAGAGAGGAAGAGGACGTGGTTGAGGGAGGAGGAGACTATGGATGAGAAAGGAAGATTTGCCTCTCTCATGTTGATTCAAGGATAGAAGAAGGCAAGGCAAGCTAGCAATAATAACGCAGCCGCAGCAAGTAGCAGGGCAGCTGGCTGTGAAAAAGGAGAAGTACAACTAGAAAACGTGAGTACAATCAAAGCATCAACATAGCAAGGCAACGTTGCGCTGTCCGTGTCGCACATCTGCACGCACTGGTGTTCTACTAGGATATCATGCAGAGGCCTCGTGACGTGGTTAGGAGGGTGAGTCGTGATGATCGATTTCTGTGCACTGATGGAGACCAGGAACATGGAGGTGTTCAGCTCCAAGACTACCTCATCTTCTCGGTCATCGCAGTAATTGTACAAGGAACTTCTTTCTACCCTCTTGGAAATGACACGCTGGGAAACAGTCAAGCTTCCTCCGACTGCCGCGAGTGCTGTTTCCTACGTTTACATCTTTTATCACCGCCTATGTAAACAGATTCAAAACGCCCAGCAGCCCAGAGCTGAACCGTCTTGTGCAGAAAGTGAGCAATCGGACGCAGGCGTTGATGGCTGGCTGCATATCGCTGCTCGGTCACGAGTCCCTTGCTGACCTGCGAGCTTGACTTGAGCACGCAGAGAGTTGGTTTGCCATATCCGTCTCGTCCATCGGGCTCTTCAGAGGGGTCAGCTGCACTAACGGACAACCGGCGTGCTGATATGCTGTATAGGCGAGTTCCGACGGGACCCAGGACCTTCGACCTCGTTCTATCGGTATGCTGATCAGGCCGAGGGTGCGGATGAGATGCTGAAATGATTTCCATGCTCAAGTCTTCGAGGTCACGCTGAGGATTGTCTTCGGGGTGATGTCTCCTTGGATGTTGAACCACCTCCTGCCCTTCATCTCTCGCTCTCGTCCTCGTCGTTCCCCCTGCTTGCTCCATGCTTCTCCACGTGCTCGCATGTGACTGAAGCATGCTTCAGGTCCTGGTCGTCGCCACCTTTGCCGAGCTCAGGTCGAGGTATCCGAGGAGCATCGCGGTCTTTCAGCTCTCCTCCAGTGACCCTCGTCCTCCTTGCTGCCCAGCCTGACATGATAGTGCAGGCGCAGCTTTAAGTCTGTTCACCAGCTTCATCATGATGGTAGCATACAAACACATGTCTGCTAACATGGCTGATAGCTCATCTGAGCAGACAGGAGATGTCATGAACTACATGCTGCTGTCGTTGTCAACCAGGATCCTGGCATGATGGGCTGGAGCCTCGTCCATGGCATCGATCCCACGATGCTATCTATCCCGTCTTGTTCCCTTCCTGTCGACTCTGTTCAAAATTTTGCATCATGTAGTCCTCGTCCAGCGCTTGAAAGGATCTGAGCAGGAACTCGTATACTGCCTGCGAGGATTGGCTGCCGTAGGAATCGAGGTACTCAGTGATGTTAACAAACCCATCTTTGTTTGCATCCATCCTCGCTATCACCTCCTCGGTGCTGCTTCCACTCCTCCCAACCCCCAAGTCTAGCCCCTTGGCGAGCTCGGGATGTGACAGCTGCCCGTCTGCATTCTCGTCCATCATGTGGAAGATGAACTTGAGCTCTTCCTCCTGGTCGTAACCCTGGGCAAGAGGAGGAGACTCCTCGGTTTCTTCTCCCTCCCTGCTGCTCCTGACTGCACTCCACCACTCCTCGAAGGAGATCCTGCCGTCCTTGTCCTCGTCTTCCCGGTCGAACTGTTGCGCCAGCTCCTCCAAGTAGCGCTTGGCCACCAGGTCCATGGCAGACTTCCCGCTGGCCTCCTTCAAGCTCCCTCCTGTCCCGCTGGCCTCCTTCAAGCTCCCTCCTGTCCCGCTGGCCTCCTTCAAGCTCCCTCCTGTCCCGCTGGCCTCTAGATCCTCGATCATGGCCTTCTGGTACTCTTGGAAGTTGAAGAACCCGTCAGCGTTCTGATCGAACCTGTTGAAACTCACGCGCTCATACCTCCTCCTCCCCTCCTCTCCTTCCTCCTCCCCTTGCGGCGTCTCGTCCGCCATGTGCTGGTGGATGTCTTCCCTGGCCTCCTGCAGGAGCTCGCTCAGGCGATCGAGCGGAGAGTCGCTCTCCTCGTGCCTCATGGCTGCCTGAGCGATATCCACAGAGGCAAGTGCTGCCAGCGACAGAAGGAGGAGGACGAGACTGTAAGTTACTGATCTTCGCCCTCCTCCTCCTGTCCCTCCTGTTCCTCCTGTTCCTCTTCCTCCTCCTCCTCCTCCTCCTCCTCCTGATCCTCCTCCTCTGAAGCTCGACAATCCTCCTGCCATCTTCTGTCCAACACACGAGGGAGGGGAAGGCGGGGAGGGGGGGAGGGGCATGGCGCAGGCAGTGGCAGGCGGTTCGCAGCAGATGGGAAAAGTGGGGAGGAGGGCAAATAGGAAAAACAGGAGAAACTCGCTGGGAACCAGGGGAGAGAGTGAGAGGTCTGCTGCTGCTGCTGCTGCTGCTGCTGCTGCTGCTGCTCGTCCTAGTCCTTGCTCCTCCTCCTCGTGATACTCGCGCCATGGAGAGCCATCATAAGTCGTCAGCTGCGGCTCTGCGCGTGAGGCAGCGCTTCAGCGGCTTCTACGACCTCCCAGTGCGGCATGACGCGAGTGCTAGCGACATCGACTCGAGCAACTTCGATGCAGACGCCTACGTGTCCTCGTTGCTCAAGAGCAAGCCCCTGCCTGACCTCGTGGGGAGGAGCAACGAGCTGTCCTCCGAGATCAAGGAGCTCGACAGTGACATGCAGATGCTTGTGTACGAGAACTACAACAAGTTCATCAGCGCTACCGAGACGATTCGCGCCATGAAGGAGAAGGTGGACGGGATGGACGGGGAAATGGAGAGGCTGGCGTCCAAGGTGTCGGAAATCACGGAGTCCTCCTTCAAGATCAACTCAAACCTCGCGGAGAGGCGGGTGAGGATCCAGAGGCTCAACGGCATCCGCCGCCTCCTCAAGAAGCTCTCCTTCATCTTCGAGCTCCCCACGAGGCTCAAGAGGGCGGTGGAGCTCGATGCAGGAGCAGAGGCGGTCAAGTACTGGAGGACCGCCCTCCCCGTGCTGAGGGCGTACGGGCATGTGCCCTCCTTCAAGGCAGTGGAAGCAGAGTCGACCGAGATCCTCGTTCTGCTGCAAGAGCGCCTGCGATCCAGGTTGTCGTCCAACGAGGCCCTCGTGCCAGAGCTGCAGGAGTGCGCTCTGCTGCTGCTCCAGCTGGGGGAGACGAAGAGGAGCGTCCAGAGCGACTTCTTGGAGGTAATGAGGGTGCGGCTGAAGCATAACGTGCGGCATGCCGGGGAGAAAGTGCAGGTAGGAGAGCTCAAGGGAGTTCTGTCGAGAACCTTCCTCGATCTTGTCAAGGACATGCTGCTGAGCTACCAGATGCTCTTCCTGGCTCCCCGCGACGGCGAGCAGGATCTGCACTCCCCGGCAGCAGGGAAGGAGGACAAGAAGGAGAGGGAGGATGGGAAGCAGGAGCCAGGAGACAAGGAGGCAGCGGATGGAGCTAGCGAGGAAGGGAGGACGATCGAGGAGCAAGAACAGGAGGAGATGAATAGGGATCTGCTAGAGCTCTGCCATCAGGTCTTGCAGTCTTACTTCGCAGCTGTGGAGGCTGCTGTTGCAAACCCGGACCTTGCGGAGGACGCTGCTGCCGTCCTCTCCCAACTCGAGCTCTGGTACGACGCGGTCAGAGGGGTAGAGGCTGTGCTGCCGGAGGGGAACGTGCTCCCACAGGCAGAGCGAGTGGTGCACATTTGCGTGAAGAAGAGAGTCCAGCTGACCCTCGAGCACCTTGCTTCCTTCGTGCAGCAGCAGGTGCGAGCCATCGCCAGGAGCGTGAGTGACTCGCGCAGGGAGGTTGAGGTCTCGTCCAAGAGTGTGAAGGATGTGATCTCCTCTTCCTCCTCCTCCTTCCTTGAGCAGAGCGACAGCGCCATGGACAAGGTCCGAGCGTTCATGGCCAGCGACACGCAGGTCATGCTGAAGCTCCGCCCGCTGATCTTCGACGAGACGTACGAGGAGCTGGTGAGGCTTTTCGACACCATCTGCGTCAGCTCCTTCCTCGAGGGTGACCCGCACGCCTCCTCCTCCTCCGAGCTCAGCCTGCGGCTCGCCTGCTTCTGGCGGCGGATACTGGAGGACGGCTTTCCTGCCCTCTCCTCACACCTCGACCTCCGGGGAGCAGGGGGCCACGGGCACGAGGCTCAGGTCCTCTCCAACTCTCTCGCCTCCATCAGGCGTACGCTGAGCAAGTGCCTTGATGCTCTCCTCCGCCGCTACGTGCAGCTGCGATCGCATGCTCTGACCCAGGCGATCGTGCGATGCTCCAGCACACTGGAGGAGGAGGACAACGGACAGGGGAGGAGGGCACTGACCGACGCCTTCCTGCAGGAGGTGGAGAAGATGGAGCGAGAGCTCGTCATCATCGTTGAGGAGGAGGAAGGGATCAAGATGAGCGCGGAGGAAGCCAAGGTCTACAGGTCCAGCAAGGCGACCAGCTCGCTGGAGGTGCTCGACCTGAGCTTCAAGCACTTGAGGATCCACAAGGTCTCCCTCCTCCTCCCCGTCATCGCGCATGGTCTGCGGACGCTCGTCGAGACTCTGCGCGTCCTCACGTTCTCTCATGCCGTCTCGTCGGAGGTGAAGAGCTCCGCTCCCGCCCTTGCTCCCCCTTGACTTGCCAGCAGCTCTACGAGGAGCAACGAAGGCTGCGGGAAGGCGTGGAGGCGACGCTGACGGAGCACAGTAGGATAATGTCGCCGATGCTGGACGAGGTCGAGTCGAGGAGGTTGTTGAGGTGGAGGATGACAAACTCGCGCAGGTGACGTCGACGATCACGAGCAGGACGGCAGACGCGCACTGAAGGGAGCGAGGGAGAAGAGGAGAAAGCAAAGAGGAGGGTGCGAAGTGAAAGTGCCAACTGAAGAAGGAAGGTTGGCAACGAGTGGGGCTGGAGAAGGAGGAATGGAGGACGGAGAAGGGGACAGAGGACGGAGCAAGAGAGAAATGGAGCACAGGATGGGAGGTGGCTGCACAAGAGGAGGAAGTATGGAATACATTTGTTGGTTTAATGGATGGTCTCGAATATATTCCTGCTAGAAGTGTCCACCAGTTGCGAATTGTTTGCGAAAAATACATGATACGTGATCAGAACTCATTTCACCTCTACTTGCCCGCCAGACCGGCTCTTTGCTCATCAACATCCGCAATCTTATTCTGCAAATCCTTCTTCTTTGACATCAATTCGTCCCTCACGTTGCCATCCTCCGCCATGTGCGCATCCTGGTACAACTTGAGCTCGTCGTTGTACTGCAAGACAAAGTCAGCACCAATTTCATCGTCAACTTTCCTCCTCCTTCTTACCTCCTCCTTGAATCTTCCCAAAAGGTAATCAATGACATCCTTTGCACTGTACTCGTACTCCCCGTCCTTGTTCTGCTTCATGTAGCGGCGGATCTGGTTGATGTCGTCCCCGGCAGTGATGAGAATCTCCTCAATGTACCTCTCGCTCTCTCCTTCCTTCTTGAAGGGGCTGACCTGCGGCAGCCCAGCGTTGGCCATAAGACTGTTGCAGAGGCATTTCCTCCCCTCGGTCGCAGCGAGATCTCCTCCCTTCTTCACCCACTCGTCCACAGGCTCCGACGCGCATCGGTATCCCACCTTGCCGTCATCTCTCTGCTCCAACTGTCAGCAGCAGCAGAGAAGGGGATCAGGAGATCAGGAGAGAAGAGAGGAGGACGGAAAAAGAAAGAGAGAAAGGGTGGAGGGATGGAAGGAGGAGGAGGCCCACCATGTAGGGGGTGCGGAGGTATCCCAAGTTGCAGACGCGAGGACGGGCGAGGTACTTGTCCTTGTCGGAGAGCGAGCCCTCGAGCTCCAAAACCTTGAAGGGGAAGCCGGTGGGGGAAGCGACGGGGTCGGTGAACACGCGGAGGTCTCCCTGGCTGACTCGCTGCAAGACGACCTGCTTGGGCTCGGGGGCAAGGCCACTCTCCTTGGTGAAGGCGAAGCTAGTTCCAACCTGGATGCCAGCACCTCCGAGGGCGAGGACATCATTGAGCTTCTCGGGCCTGGCATAGTAGCCAGCGAGCCAGAAGGGAAGGTCACCGACCGCCTGCTTGAACTTGGGCAGGTCGATATCGTCCTTGGGGCCGTAGACAGGCTCTCCGCGCTCGTTGAGGGAGAGCTTGTGCGACTTCTGGACGGCATCGTATCGGAAGCCACGGGGAGGAGCGTTGTGACCACCAGCACTGGGAAGCTCGATGATGAAGCCCTGGATACCCTTAGTGGGTCCTGCGCCGGTTGCCCGCTTCAACATGGCCTGGGCGAGAGTGACGGAGGAGACGATGGGGAGGAAGTTGGGCCTCTTGAGCTTCTTCTCGGCAAGCTCGGGGTGTCCAGAAGCAGCCCTGCACCGCCTCGTTACACATGCCAGAGCGATTGCATGCTCAACATACCAGAACGCCTTGGGAGAGAAGACGTGCTTGATTGGGTCTCCGCCATCGATGTCGATAGAAAGCTTCGCGTCCTCGTTCGCAGCCAGTCTGTCGAGAATTCCCGGGACTTCCTGTCGAGGAGGAGCGTTACTTATAGACAGGCAGGAAGAATACCAAACATACCATGGGAATGCCGGCACCCATGAGCACATAGTCAACGTCGGCGAGCATGGCACCATACAGGGACTCGATGGTCGGCAACTGAGATGATGATAAGTACATGTGAAAACAATCAGTGCAACATCGTCCTACCTGGATCTTCGTCAAGCAGTTGATGCCAACCACACCGTCAACAAGCGAGTTGTCATCGCCGTGCTTGGCCAACCAAACCTGATATGGAGTCAGCCAAGCAACCTCCTATATTTATCCTGACCTCGGCAAAGTTTCCGAGCACGCATGCTTCTTGAAGCTCTTGTCCGGGGTTGAGCTGCCACATCTGGAGAGGCTTGTATGGCTTGTTCTTGTCCTTTCCTCCTTCCACGTAGTACTAGGCAACCGTCAGGTCCACACACAAGGCAGCGGAAGCTTGTCACCTTGTCCATGAAGCGCTTGACCATTCCCTGATCAGGAAAGTGCGAGAGCGCTCTCCTGTACAAGCCGCCGGGGTCTCCGTCCTGCATCCAGCGAAGAAGAACCATGTCCATGGCAGTTCCGGAAATGACTCCCAACTCGCCGGCTCTTGCGACCTCACGGGCAAGCTCCCAAGAAGACACCTGAGCAGACACATGTCAGAAAACGGCTCAGAGCGCTCATTGTCAGTATCACCTGCACGCCCATTCCTCCCTGAATGATCTTTGGGATCTTGGTCGCCATGCTGATCGTCGAAACCCGGCCCCTGGCATTGCGGGGTGCGGCGAAGCGATGTTGCGAAAGAGAGCTGCGAGTTACTCTCGAGGAGGAGAGCAGGGAAGGAGCCAGGTTGAAAGCCTGTGCTCCTACCATGATGGCAAGGGCGAGAACTAGCTGCCGCATTTCCGATGAAAGTGCTAAGGAGTCGCTGACGGTGGCGAGCTCAACAGAACCAAAGAGGCCTCAGCCCACAGTGAGGGCAGTTGCCGTGGTCAGAGAGCTGGGTAGGAGGACGCTACCGGGAAGGACAGCGAGGCAGGAAGGAGAAGCTGAGACGAGACAGGTACTGTGGAGGAGGCGGGACGTGCGAGAGGGAGGAACGGGGGCGGGAGGAGAGAGCAAGCAGGGGTATAGGCAGGGATACAAGGGGTGGTGTCTATCTGAGGGCAAATGTAGGGGTAGTGGTGACCCCTCCGGTTAAAACAGGAGGGGTGGGGGGTATATCGAAGGAGGGCTTTGGGGGGGTTTCTCGGGTAGGGTGAGATGAAACATATTCTACTACCCCTTGTTTTCTAGCCTGTTATATCCTTGCTTTCACTGGTGGGTTATTCAAAAAGGGGGTAGGGGTAGGGTGGCTGCCTGAAGGAAGCAGCGGCCGCGCGTGGAGGCCGAGGTTCAAAGACAAGCTACCCTACCCCAGTTTTTCCCATGAAATACCCACCCGTACCCTCAGCTAAAAAACCACCCACCATGTATGTCCTTGAGAAAACACCCCTCATGAAGCCAGAAGGTACCACCCCCTCCACCCTCGAATCTTTGAGGCCCACCATACTCGAATTCAATTCGTAATTGTACCCACCTTCCCTGAAATTCTGCGTACCCCACCCACTATTTACTAATGAACATTACTACCCCTCTGTTTCAGTGCTCGTATGGCTCTGCGAACTGTCACTCAAGATTGTTTGCTTTTCCCTACCCACCCATTCTCGTCTCCATTGGGAGCTACCCCCACAAACTCTACCCCCACCCACAAATTTACTCACAGAACTCTTTTGATTCTATGACCCTACCATCTGACATTACACCCCACCCTTGCTCGGATCACCCCACATAGACACCACCCACTACCTTGATCTCTGTTTTTACTCTACCCACATGCACTGTCGTCAAATACACCCCTACCCCAAATGAATTGGTCAAATATACCCGTGTATTTGCTCCGTGACCCTACCCCGACACCAAGAGCCCCAATGTTTAACTACCCAGGGATGCAGCTTTTCCTTATGACCCCCCCTTTTCAAGGAGACCTTCACAGTGTTGCAAAGGGTCAGTACCCACCGGAGTCCTTCCCACCATGTTACTGATAAATTACGGGGTCTTGATCTAAATAAAGTTCAATGCACCCTGGCTGAAGGCACCGGTGTACCAAAAGACCCACACAAAACTCATACCCTACCCCCATTTGCAACTCCCACCAGCAGACGGATTGATAATAATGGTACGCACCCGACAGCCCCTCCTCTTAGAGGGGGTTGACCAATAAAATAGATTATGAAATTGTTTTTTGTGGGTGGGGTAATTGACCTAGTGGGGGTGGGTGACTGAAAGGGGGCGATCATGCACTTCCTGGGTGGGTAGTCACAAATCTCTTACCCCTGCTGCAGGGGTCCATCGTCCCTGCAACCCACCACACCTTTGATGTACCACCCCTTGTCGAGTTTTCAGGTACCCACCACCATTAGAAGAGACCCTACCCTCATCTTTACTAAAAGTACCCGACTCACACCCCTGAAAAAGTGTACCCCACCGAATAAACCTACCCCCACAAATTTTCAACCCACCCATGAAGATTCACCAACTACATCGCTACTACCCGTGATCGTCTCGATCCCTAGAGGAACAAGATGGGGCACTGGCGCTAGGGTCTGTACATACCTTGAATTTCATATGTTCGCATTTAGAATAATGCTAATGTAGAAGACTACACAGAAAAATGAAGTAAAAAGGGGGTGCGAATGAATCACGAGGGGGTAGTGAGGAGTTTGATCTAAGGGTGGGGTAGTTTGATTTTGCGGACACCGGTTCAGGAGTTTAGATATAAAGAGCAAAGGAGATTTGGGAGATGCTGAAATGTCTGAGGGTGGGGTGGGTTGAAGTACTGGTGACAGAGGGTAGGTCAGCATAGGAGACAACGGGGTGGGTCTCTTTCAGGAACCGTATAGTACCAGACTGTTGTGCACTGATTCTGGGGTAGTTTCAGGCTACAAAGGACCGGTGTATTGTCGAGTGTGTAGACGGATGCGCCCCCCCGGCTCATTTCAGGGACTGGAGTGGAGGGTGGGGGGTAACAGGATGTTTGATGGGTGATACCATGGGGGGTAGTTGGAAGACAAGCAGGTGGGGTGGTCTCCTGATATAGTGGCTAGTTGCGGTAGTCGTAAAGAACGGGTGGGGTCATCACGGCAGACACAGAGGGGTGGGTATATCGTAGGAAGATAAGGGGTAGACGCAGGCAAAGCCCCTTTTTATAACTCCTTTGTACAAACCGAATCAAGATAAAGTGTCTGACAGATGCCTAAGTAAACTTTCCTACCAGAAACTATCAGTCAAAATTTTGATCATAGGACAATTGTTTTACTTAAAGTAATCAGTACCGGACTGACTTTAGTTATCTCAAGACTCCATTGACAAAGAAATCAGTCAAACTTTGAGCCGGAGGGTAGGAGCGGTCGGATCTCTTACCGGTTTCTGGTCCTAGCTGAGTCCTAGTACTGAACGAGCCCCGCTATGGAGAGGAAGTGGAAGCATGTTCGAAAACACTCTTTTTCGGCTGGTGGCGCAGGGGCCAAGCGCCCATAAAAACTTTTATAGTCTCATTCAAACTTTCATAAACTCATCAGTGACTCCCGGGTAACCGTTGAACTAGGCTTGGCCGGGTCCGGGGCCCGGCCGGCCCACTCCGACCGTGGCTGTGGCAACTTGGCAATGGGAGGCTCAGTGACTCGGTCTGCCCGGGCCCAGCGGCCGCTGTCGTCGGAACGCCCGGCAGCCCGTGTACCTCCGAGTAGCGGGCGCCGCTACTAGTATGGACTCGGGCCGGGCGGCCGCGGGCCCGCGGCCCGGTCCGACTGATCCGAGTCCGTACGGTCACGGGCCGCGGGGACCCGGTAGTACCGTCACCGGCGCCGCCCGGTGCCTGTCCCCGCGGCCGGGCGGCGGAGAGAGGCCGACGGGTTCGAACTTCTAAAAAAAACGGCGAGCGGGTACCGTGAGCCTGAAGCGGCCTGCCCTGCCCGCCGGGCCGGGCCGGCCCAGTCTGACGGCCCGTAATGTTTGCCAGTGTTACTGAGTGGCCCTCAGCGGCTGAGTCACGCGGTGGCTTGGCAGTCCCGAAGCGGCTTTGCCTTCAAGTTGTCGAAGCGGCTTGGCGGCCCGGCCGCGCTGGGGGGGGGCCTCACTGCGGCCGATCGGTCATCTCAGTAGTGACTGATGTCGGACTAGTGATCGCGGCACTGATCTCTTCAAAACATTTATCGGATAGGAATCATGGCTACTATGATTGATAACTGACCGGTCAGTGCCTGGTGGGGGCTGAATTATGCTCAGTGTCGCCGCACCTCAGTACTTCTAGAAAAAAAATTCAAAATATCTTGATGGCAGAAGGAGGGGCGTCGATCGGGAGCTCCGTCGTCCTAGAGAAACCCTTGAGAACCTGCAGTCGCTTCTCTCTGTATTCTCTGAAGGCTGACTGCACTGACCTCGCCGCAAAGTCCTCCGCTGCCGTTGGTAGCCTCCCGTCCAGCATGCTCTGTGCGGCGTCGCTGCCCTTGCGCTCGTCCCCTTCCTCCCCGAACCTGACTGACCTGGCGGACTGAGGGTCGTCCTCCTCCAAGTCGGTAGTGAGGACGCGCTTGACACAAGCAAAGAACGTCTCGTGGTATCGGATGAAGCCGCCCTGGTGGATGGGAATGTTGAGGTCCTTGATAATCTGCATGACTGTCGAGCGGTCGTTCTGATCGTTCTTGGTCCCCAGGGGAGGAGAGAGGCGGGTGATGAGGGTGCTGAGCGAGGCTATGGAGATCTTCTGGGTGGCGTCAGGATCCAGCTCAGTCCAGGCGTCCACAAACTCGTTGAGCTTGTCCAGCGGGAGGGTGGCGGAGTCTGCGTGAGCGAGCTCGTGAAAGTTCTCGAGGATAACGGCAGTGAACAGCTGCATCATGACATACGTCCCGATGACCTCCCAGAGCACGTGAAAGATGGTCCCGTAGTAGTAGCCCCCGCAGCCGTCCCCGAGGTAGTCGCCGTAGGCCTTCTGGCATGCGAGGAACTGGTCGTCTTGCGAGCAGTAGGTCATGATGCCGTTCCAGGCCTCGCCCGTCGTGTGCCGATGCAGCATCCACATAGCCTTGTCGAAGTACTGGTAGTTCGCCTCGTCGTCGTTCATCCTGCCGTACATGTCCTGCGAGGTGTTGACGTTGTAGAAGAAGGAGAGAGCGAGGACGGAGAAGATGGTCATGATGAGAAGCAGGAGGGCGAAGATGTTAGTCATTGAGGGCACGGAGATCAGGAGGGTCTGAATCATCTGGCGCAACCCAACGGCCCGTCGGATGAGACGGAAGACGCGGAGGATGCGGAAGGTCCTCAGGGCAGACAGCGCAGGGACCTTGAGCTTCCTGTTGGTCTCCACGAGGCAGCTCCACTCCCCGTTGACGATGTCGAGGACGAGGAGGAAGATGGAGAAAGTGACTACGACGAAGTCGAACACGTTCCACGGGTCCACGAAGTACCAGTTGACTCCCAGCCCGACCAGCTTGACGAAGGCCTCGAAGATGAAGATGATGGCGAAGGTGAAGTTGATCCAGAAAACGGCCGCCACCATGCAGTCTGACTCGTCGTGGGTCTTGAAGGTCATGACAAGGACGTTGAGGACGATGGAGACTGTCATGAAGTACTCGAACCACGGGTTGGTGGCGAGATGGAAGCACCAGTTGCGGAAGGGATGCTCAGGCCCCTTGACCCTCGTCCTCGGCTTCAGGTGGTTGATGATTCGCTGCATCTCCTTCCACTCGTGCTGCTCCGGAGTGAGGAAAGGAGTGATGCCCTCCTCGTTGTTCTTGATCTTGGTGTAGTTGGCAATGACGACACCGATGATCAGGTTCAGGAGCACGAAATTGCCGATGATGATCTGCACGCAGGCGTAGATGCAGTGGAACACGCTCTGGTTGGGCAGTGGTGATACCCCCAGGCCGTTGGGGATATCAGTCGTTGCCGCCATGACTTCCATCCATCCTTCGGTCGTCGAAACTTCGAACAGCGTCATCGCAGCCATGCCGATGGAATCGAAGCCGAAGTACTTGGGCTGCCACACCCCCAGCCCTCCTCCTCCTGCCGTCACGCACTCGACGATGGTGGGGACGGCATCCGGCCCGGCCAGGGGAAGGGTGGAGGCGTAAACACTGGAGGACTGGAAGTAGGAAGTGCCGTAGTACCTCTGGTTCTGGGGGTCGTAGCAGCTGTACGTGTTGCCAGCGTAGAAGTTGACGCCAAGGATGGCGTAAGTCAAGAACCAGAGGACCATGACGGAGAGCACAGGATACATGGCTGGGATGCTGGAGATCATACAGACAACAACGACCTTGAGCCCGATGTGCCTCTTTATGACTCTGAGCGGGCGTATGGCACGGAGCGTGCGGAGGGACTTGAAAGTTTTGATGTTGCTGCTGGGCCCGAAGGAGCCGACGAGGGAAATTATGACGATGGCCAGGTCAAGCCAGTTCCACGGGCTGCGCAGGTATGAGAACCTGTGGCTGATGAAGCCGTCGGAAATGATCTTGAGGACCATCTCTACGGTGAAGACGATGGTGAACACCTGGTCCAGCTTCTCGAACACCTTCAACCTCTCCTTGATCACGCAGCACGGCGCCTCCGTGGGCGTCCCGCACGGTCCCCAAATATTGTTGTTGAACTCAGGGTCTGTCGCATCCCTGGGGCAGTTGAGCATGACAGACTGTCCGGGATAGCTAACGGCGCTGCAGTTGAGTCCTAGAGCAGGGCAGTTGCTCTCAGTACCCACCCAGGAGTCGTCGGGTCGTTCGAGGAGGAGAGTGATACTTGTGATTAGGATGCTGGTCATGATGAAGAACTCGAAGGTTGGGTGGTAGACCAGCCAGCTGACGAGGAGGCGGAAGGGGTTCTTGGGCCTCAAGACCCTCAGGGAGGTGTGGGGGTTGACCCGCACCAGCAGGTCGAACCCGAAAACTTTGACAAGCTCCTTGACTGGCTCGAAGTTCTTGGGGAGGGAGGCAGTCCGGGGGAGGTTGCCGGCAGCGAAAATGCGGTTGGGGGAGCCGAGCGTGGACGTTCTCTTGACCTTCTCCCCCCCCACCAGCTTCTTGATAGCTAGAGTGATGGGGGATAGCTTGCTGGACTTCATCGAGTCCATGCCCTCGGTGGCCTCTTGCGCCTCCTCCTCGTCGTCCTCCCCGAAGCCTTGGAGGAGGATGGAGATGAACAGGTTCATGATGATGTAGTTCCCAAAGACGACGATGGCGATGGGGATCAGCGCCTGCACGGCTCTCAGCCCCGTGGGATTGCTGTCGGACATGATGGCGTTGTACATGACGACGTTCCAGTTCTCCGTGCTGATAATCTGGAAGGTCGTCACGAATCCTCCGATGCCGTCGACTTGAGGGAAGAAGTTGTCGAAGTTGCTGCGGGGGAAGTCTGTCTTGAAGTAGCGGAACTTCCCGCCGAAGAGCTGCATGCCTAGGAGAGCGAAGATATACATGAACATGACCCAGATGACGCAGAGGGGGCCCATGGAGCCAAGAGCGACGGCGAGAGTGTTGAGAATCCTCCTCATGTCCTTCCAAGACCTGGCGAGCTTGAAGAGGCGGAACAACCTGACGGCTCTGCCAAACTCGTCAGAGGCGGCAGGAAGAGAGAGAGGGAGGGAGAGCGAGAAGGAGAGGGAGAAAGCGGGGAGCGGGTGCAGGAGGCGGAAAGCGACAGAAGGAAGGGAGGGACAGAAGGGGCGCTGAGATGAGAGTACTAGGAAGTTCAAGGAGGGGATGAGGGAGGGAAGGAGGAGGAGGAGGAGGAGGAGGAGGGTTTGGGGAGAGGGGACACTAACCGCAAGGCGGACAAGCTCCCGCGGTTGCTGCCGTTGGAAGGGATGATAGCAAGCTCAACGATGGAGCTCACAACGACGAAGAAGTCGAAGCAGTTGAAGTTGTCCTGGAAGTACCTCTGGACCCCGAGGCCGAAGAGCTTCAGCACCATCTCGGCGATGAAGATGGCGGTGAGGACGAGGTTGATGTTGTTGAGCTGGGAGAACAGCTGGGAGGGGAAACTTTCGCAGCTGTTGTCGTCACCGCAAAGGTGTCGCAGCGATATTACCTGCACTTGCTGTCAGATTCACAGGCATCGGGCAGCCTTGCACAACCTTGCCCATGACCTGTGTGAAGGTCTGGGGGGTGTAGAGGGCAGTTTTGCATTGCCCTTGCTCGTTCATGTCTGGCGTCTCCGTGAAGTTCCTTGTCGTGGGAAAGAAGTGACAAGGCATCCCGTTGAATCCTAAGGAATTGATGCAGCTTCCCCTGGTCGAGTGCTTTGAGCAGAACCCGTCGTTTTCCATGAAGCAGTAGGCGGTCTGTAGCGGGCGCTCTCCTCCTCCTTGCCCGTCGCTGTAGAAGGACCTGTTGAACAGGGGACCGACGCAGCTGCACGACAAGAGGAGTGTGAGGAAGGGCTCGATCGCAAGGTACCACTTGTGTTACTTGTCAGAAGCGTTGGCTGGGAGGCTGACGTCCAGGTCGCAGCGGCGCTTGCAGATGTTGTCTTCGAACAGACTCTGCCGCTCGTCTCAGGGGCTTCCGACGCTCCTGCCCACCACCTTACCTGGTCGTGCCAGTTGATCATCATAAGGACGGTGTTGGAGATGATGCAAACGATGATAAAACGCTGGAAGTAAACGGAGTACACCAGCGATCGGGCCAACTGCCACACACATCACGCGACACGTTAGGCGGGCTGGCATGCAAAGACCTCTCGGGCCTTGTCGATCCTCAACGTCTCGCTGATCTTCTTGAAGTTTTCATTGACAGAGCTCAGGAGTGAAAGGCGTCTGATTGGAATCCCTCGCAGGGACGAGGTATCCACACTCATCCTCCTCCTCAGTGCCGAGAAAGCAGACAGCCCTAGAGGGAGATCGTCTCAGTCTCAAGCTGCAGCGGCATGCTCGACTTACTCTTGCTAACTTGTAACCTGACGTCCTCCTTGAGGATGGCCTGGTCGTGCAGCGCCTCCTTCTCCTTCTGTGTTTTTTCCTCCTCCTGTCTCAACAGTTGCGTCAAGGGCTCTGGTTCCTGAGAAGGAGGAAGGAGGAGACGAGGGGAGGAGGGGAGTAGAAGAGGAGAGAAATTTCTCTCATGTCGAGCACTTTCACCTTTGCCAGCAGAAACGCGTCAGACAGGGAGGCCAGAGCGAGCTGGACAATCACGAAGCATCCAAGGAACACCCAGGCAGAGTGGAAGATTCGAGACAGCCACCTTGAGAGCATGTGAGAAGGGAAAAGAGGAAGAGAGCAATCGGGAAAGAGAGGTTGAGGGCCAAGGATAAGGCAGGGAGATGAGAGGGAGGAGAGAGAGAGCGAGCGATGGATGAGGAAGAGGATCAGAGTATCGAGGGAGGGAGGGTGGGAGATGAGAGGGAGGAGGGAGAAAGGGAGTGAAGGAGGGAAAATAGGATGATGGAGGGAAATTATGATGAGGGAGAGAGGGAGGGAAAATAGGATGAGGGAAGGTAAGAGGGAGGGAGGTAAGAGGGGGAGAGGTAAGAGGGAGGGAGGGAGGGAGGTCGTTACATGCTGCTCCCATCCCCATGCCGATAGTAGATGTCAGTCCAGCCTTCCACCGTGAGGACTTGGAAGATGGTGAGGAACGCAGAGAGGATATTGTCGTAGCTGAAGTATCCCGCTCCCAGGTCGTAGGGGTTCGAGTTGAAGTCTCTCTAAAGGGAGGTCTACAATGTCAGGGAACAGGACGACATGGAGGAGATGAGTAGCTAACCGCGCATTGTTGGTACGGGCTCGTCGGGTCCCCCGTCATGCAGTATCGAAAGTGGCTGCAAGTTGTGTTCCAGAAGACTCCGTCCATCGCAACAGACGGGCAAGCCTGAAGGGTAGATGTTAAGTTGCACCCCTCCCTCCCCGCACCCCAACCCGCCCCCTCTCTCGCTCTTTCTCTCTCGTACAACCTTCCTCGCTCCCGCTCTTCTCGCTCACTCCCCTCCCTCCCCTCCCTCCCGCTCTGTGCCAGTCTCTCTCGCTCTGCCTCTTTCTCCTCCTCTGTGTCTTTCCGAACCTGTCCTAAACCATGGCCCCCCTTCGACCCATAGGAGCATATGAACATGTTTGCGTTTCTGGAACTGGGCAGAGACAAATCAGGAGGTTTTCGCTAGCAGGAGGAGCGACACTCACCCAACCATGACCATGGAATCGGCGAGAAAAGGCACTTGCTGACTCAGCAGCCTTGCCAGCACCTGCCAAGTTTACATCAACCCAACAGACCAAACATGGTACACACACCGCAGGGTGCTGGGAGAAATCATTGTTGTTCGGATCTATGTAACATCGCCCGCGAAGACTCTTCTGGAAGAACTCAATGCCCAGTATCCCAAAGACAACAGCAAAGAAGAGCAGGAGCATGACGACGTTGGTGAGCGCGACAAAAGAGCGGATGAAAGTGTTGATCAGCGGCCGCATCCCCGATATCCTGGTCATCGTTCGCAGAGGCCTCAACACCCTGACTGTCCGCAAGAATGAAAATTTCCCCGAGCTTGGGACGATCAGAGTGATCAGGCCGGTGACCACCACAACAAAATCGAGCCAATTCCACGGATCGCTCAGGTACGAGTGCTTATGCAGGATGAACCCCCTTGCGATGATCTTGATGACCATCTCGGCCGTGAAGCAGGACGTGAAGAAGATCTCTGTCACCAGCAGCATCCTCTCCGTCGTCGGCCAGTCCTCGCAGTCGCGCCGATAGTAGAGAAGTCGGATGTACTTGTCGCTCTCCGAGCAGACGGGGGTTTCACACCTGCAGACTGGGTCCTCCAGCACCAGGAAGCAGCAGTTGAGCAAGATGAGGAGAAGGATCGCCCTGTTGAACCATGGCCACTCAGAGAACTTGATCAGCGACTCACGCACTCGGCTGCTGCTGGTTAAACAGAACAGAGACCTGAACGGCAAGATCAACGAAGGAAGCAAACCCAAGAGGTTGCAAGGTTGAATACCTGTTCACGTAGTGCTCCTCTGACCTAGCCTGAATTCGCTTCTTCTCCCTCCTCAGATGCCCCAATATCAGTTTCCAATCCGTGTCACCTTCAAACGCGTATCCAGTTACAATGCTAACTTGCCTCTCCCGCTCGAAGTCCATTGACTTCCCATCAAACTGCGAGCCGTGATCGCCATCTGTCGATCGCCTGCTCTGCACTGGGCTGGTCACGGACATTGGAACGACTTGTTCGCCCCCGCCCCCTTGCACGATGTTACAGCCACAACGCAGGAGATCCGCTACCCGATCTGTGGAGCCGGACGACCAGCAATGCGTCTGACGGTACCACCCAAGTCACTTGTGCTTGCTCCTGAAACGTTGTCCTTCATGCCAGATGCTCCGAGCCCATCCTGTCTTCTTCCTCCAGCTTCTCCTCTCAGTCGCATGCCCCTGATCTTCCGGCCCTCCTCTCCTGCTCCTCCTGCTCCCGCTTCCCTCTGCTCCCTGCCGCTCTCCGCATGTCCAGCCGCCAGCCTGCGCTCAACCGACAAAAATAAAATGGTCAAACTTACAAGCACTGTTGGCGTACCCCCACCCCCTCCGTGTGCCACCCTCTACCCCATTATATAATGTAACTCATGGACAATCTTAGGGTATACCACCTTACCCCCATCCCGTACTGACAGTCCATTCACACACAGCCCTCGTCCCCACTCAATTTCAAGATCGGGTCCGCCTCAGTGACCCCTCGTCCCCACTCCATCCCCCAGGTCAAAACGATTGACAACAAGCGGTTGGCAATGGGAGGGAAGGGGAAGAGAGGAGAGGAGAGGAGACGAGACGAGACGAGACGAGACGAGACGAGAGGATACGAGAGGAGACGAGAGGAGACGAGAGGAGACGAGACAAGAGGAGATAAGGGGAGCGAGAGGAGACGAGACGAGAGGAGACGAGAGGAGACGAGAGGTGATTGGGAAGCGAGAGGACAGGACAGGAGAGGAGAGGAGGGGAGACGGGAGGAGAAGAGACGAGAGGAGAGGAGACGAGAGGAGAGAGGAGAGAGGAATGGAGGACGGGGGAGGAGGAAGTGACTCAGGAGGAGAGGAGATGAGACGGAGCCGGGGGGGAAGGCAGGTGAAGTGGGGAGTAGAAGATGGAAGGAAGGGGTATTGAGGGTGGAGGAAACGAATGAATTGTCAGCCGGATACTTATAACGTTTGCAGGAACAGGTGGAAAGAATGAGAAGGTTGGATTGAAACAAGCAAAAGCAGCACAGGTGGAAAGAATGAGAAGGTTGGATTGAAACAAGCAAAAGCAGCACAAGCAGCTCTCTTTCTCGATTGGAGATGGTCAAGTCACCAGCAGGAGACATCGAGGAGATGGAGGAAGGGGAAGGATGCTTGAGCAAGATCCCGAAGCACGGCGCATGCCCGCCGCCTCTCCATTCGTCGGCTGCGGTGGCAGTGGGAACGGGCATGTACATCTTTGGAGGGAACCTGACGCTAGGAGAAGAAGACCGCACATTGTCCCAGGATACGTATCGATACGATATCGACGATGGGTTCTGGTCCAAATTCTCTGTGTCCATAGATCAGCCTTGCGCCCGGGCGGGTCACTGCATGGTGACCGACGGAAGCTGTTTCTACGTCTTGTGCGGGTGGAAATGGGGGAAGAAGGAAGTTGTTTACCTCGGGGACTGCTTCCGATGCTCCATCAGCGACATGCAATGGAGCGCAGTCAAGGCCTCGGGCGTTCCTCCGGTCCCTCGGGCTCATGCGACGGCAGCGTACGCGAGGAGAAAGATCTTCCTCTTCGGGGGATGTAACGGAGCACTGGCGGCCAACTACCGGAATGACATGGTGATCCTGGACCTTGAAACAAGTACTTGGACCAATCTGGAGACGGTGAACGCTCCTCCTCCCGGAAGGTCTCAGCACTCCATGGTGCTGTATGGAGGGAAGTGCTTCGTGTTCGGCGGGGTGAACCTGAGGGCGGGGAAGAAGAACTGCCTGGGAGACTTTGTGAGTTTGGACCTGACGAGGGCAGAGTGGGAGGAAGTTGAATGCCACCCGAAGGCGATGCCACAAGGTAAGAACTGAGGTGATTGGGGGAGCGGAGAGATGAAAGTGTGTCTGCAGCTAGATACTCGGGCAGCATGGTGCTGATGAAGGATAGGATCGCTCTTGTAGGAGGTTGTGACATAGAGGGGCGGTTCTTTGACGACGCTTGGTTCTTCGATCCTGTCTCTAAGGTATGTTGTTGCTGCTGCTGACTGCTGCGGCTGCATGGAGGAGGATGTGTCATGCTGAAAGATTCGTTGCCAGGTTTGGAAAAGGTTGAAGGAGAAGGAGGAAGGTGACAATAAGAAATACCTCGAGCTCCCTGCTGTTGGAGCATCTGCAGTCTGCGCTTTCGAGAACCTGCACCTTGTTTACATCGGAGGGGTTACAAGCTCGCGAGCCTCCTCGGGCTCTGCCCAGCAAGACTTTGACAGGATGCCCGGCGATGGGACAAGGTCGTCGCCAACGTCAAGGTTCAAGATAGTGGAGGAGAACCATGTGGTCGACTTGAGAGCATGGAAGCGCTACTTTGCTGAGCACAGCAAACCTCACAGCATCAAAGACAGAGACTTCATGGACAGAGCGCTGAACGCGCCGATGCGCTCGATGTGGATGACGCGGCGGAGGTCCAACATGTCGACCATCACAGTTGAGAGCTCCCTAAGCGTTGCGAGCATGGCGGTGAAGCAGGAGGAGAGCGTCATGGTGTGGCACCTCGGGAAGCCCGAGGGCAGCCAGCCCAGCCCCAGGTCAGGGCATGCGGTGGCTTGTGTGGGGAACCGGATGTACGTGTTCGGAGGCTTGGTGGAGAGGAGCGGAGAGAAGGCATACTCTTCCGACTTGTTTCTCCTGGACGTCTCCACCATGAAGTGGACTGAAGTCAGGCTGTCCCCAAGCTCGCCGTACGTGCCTCCGGGCCGGGCCGGGCACACGATGCACACGATCGAGCAGGGGAGGAATCAGCTGCTAGTGCTGTTCGGCTGGAACGTGGAGGAGGGGAGGGCTAAGTTCCTGGACGACGTGTTCACTCTAGATCCACTGAGCGGGGACAGCAAGAGGTTCGAGACGAAGGGGGAGGGACCGCAAGGGCGGTCGTACGCCGCCACGCTGCTCTACAGGTGGTGCGAGAGGCTTGTTCTGATCGCCTCATGACGCGCTCGCAGGTCGAAGATCTTCATGTTTGGCGGCTGCACCGGGACGTTTGCTACCAACTACAAGAACGATCTGTGGAGTCTTGACATCCTGCTGGGCATCTGGACCAAGATCGTTCCCACGGCAGAAGTCGGCCTTCCCGTCGGCCGGTCCCAGCACTCGATGCTGCAGTACGGAGGGAAGATCTACGTGTTCGGGGGGAACAACAAGGCGGAAGGGAACCGGAACTACTTGTCGGACCTGTGGACCTTCGACCTTGCAAAGTCCCACTGGAAGCAGATCAGAGTGGAGGCTGAGATGGGACCCACGGCCAGGGCAGGGCATGGGATGACTATGTACAACCAGGGCATCTTTGTGTTCGGGGGAGGAGGGATGGAGGACGGGGAAGAAGGGTTCTACGACTCGATCTGGGTGTTCGACACGGCCTCTAACGCCTGGCACCTACTGCAGCAGGAGGACGAGCAGGGCATGATAGGAAGCAAACGCCCTTGCGCGCGAGCAGGGCACTCCATGGTCACAGTCGGGAACAACCTGGTCGTGTTTGGAGGTGCCTGCCCGGGGGGAGCTGGGCTAGGAGGAGAACTTCGAGGGCTGAACGACGTTTCCGTGCTGAACGTCACGAGCTGGCGGCATGCTGTGCCCAAGTTGCTGATCGAGCGAGAGAGGGAGCAGGCCACGAGGCTCCTCTCCAAGATCCAGGGGCTAGACAACCATGCGGCCAACAGGCTGCTGGAGAGCATGCACACCTTCGAAGGAGCCTCTCGAGAAGCATACACACAGGCCCTCGAGGACGTGTACGGGGAGTACGAGGTAGCGGCCGAGGCCGAGGAGGAGGAGGAGGAGGAGGAGGCGGTCAAGCTGGACCCAATGGTCTCGGCAAGCTTGTTTGTTATCAACCAGAAGATCGACAGGATGCTGGCGCGGGTAGCGCCCGAGCGGCAGCTGGTCTATCAGCTGCAGCGCACGTCCCTTATATCCCCAATCGTAGCCAAGGGAGCGAAGCTGAGGATCACGGTGGTGGGAGGAAAGGGTCTGCCCAAGATGGACAGGTTCGGGAAGGCGGACCCGTACGTCGTGCTCAACGTGGACGGGCAGAAGGCCAAGACTAGGATCCTGAAGAAGACCCTGGACCCCGTGTGGGAGGAGACGTTCGACTTCTACATCCGCAGCTTCGACTCCCAGATCCTGGTGGAGTGCTTTGACTGGGACTTTGCGGACTCGCACGACTTCATGGGCTGTGTGGAGGTGGAGATGGGGTCGCTGCTGGAGGGGGACGTGGACGAGTACTTCTCGCTGAGGAAGAGGACGGGGGAGCTCCTGAAAGGCTCGCTGCATCTGCGCATGCAGTTTGAGAATATTGAGAGCGGGCTGACGGATCTCAAGGCCTCCGTCCTGCTCGCCATGAAGTCGCTCAGTGCGCAGGAGAAGGAGGCGGTACTCTCCAGCTTCTCGCGGTCAGGAGAAGAGGATGCCGAGGTCAGGCAGCAGGCCTCCCTTGCGCACGCGGAGGGGCATGCAACTCATCAGGGTCACAGCCCGTTGGAGCGGGGGCTGGCGCTCGGAGGGGCAGGGGCGAGCAGGGCGAAGATTGAGTCGAGGAGGCAGGAGAACCTGGCCGAGATAGAACGACTGAGGAGGCAGCAGCTGGAGGAGGAGGAGATCGAGGCCAAGGTTTGCTGTGCTTCTTCTGTTGATGCCGGGCTGGATGACGATCTTGATGTGGCAGGAGCGAGAGCTGAAGCTGCTGAGCGAGAGGGAGGCCGACCTGCTGGCAGCAAGGAAGCAGCAGCAGAAGCGCAAGCAGCTTGAGGCAGCGATCAACAAGAAAGTCCGAGCGATAGCTGAGCTGGAAGGACAAGCTTTCTTGCAGGAGCGAGGAGACGAGGACGAGGCAGGAGCACAGCAGGAGGAAGCAGAGCCCGTGGCAGCAGCGAGAAAGGAGGTGGTGGAGGTGGGATGGAGAGATCGTGAAGCAACTTCTGCATCGAGCACGACGACGAAGGAGTCGACGAGTGAGAAGGGAGGACAGAGACGGTCTGCCCTGCTCTTGCGGAGGTTGAAGCTGACAAGTTCCCAGCTCCCTGCTCACAACGATGCTGGGGAAGTCCTCTTCTGTGGAGGCGAAGCGGAGGATGATGCAGTCGCTGATGAGCAAAAGGAAGGTGAGAGGAGGACTGACCCATCATCTCTCCCTCCGACCCTCAAAGTCTCTCAGGCCAACTCTCGTGTCAGCCCCGACTTTGTTGAACAAGATGAGTTCCAGAAGGAGGTAGGATGAAGGCCTTGCTGAGCCCGAGCAGTCATGCGCTGACTTCCTTGACTCCCTCCAGGTGCAGGCAGTGAGGGAGAAGATCGAGAAGCAGAAGGAGGCGGAGAGGGTGGAGAGGAGGAGGCAGGAGAAGCTGGAGGAGCTCGAGCTGCAGAGGAAGCAGATCGCGCTGAAAATGGATGAGGTTGGTACTGCTGCCTTGACTGTCGCTGCGCTGACCATGAGCAGGAGAGGACGAGGGTGGCGCAATTAGTTGAGAAGCGAGAAGTCATCTTGGTCCCTGTGGATCCTCTCAGTACTTCGACGCTGACTGTGGACGGTGCAGAGGTCGAAAGAGGCGATGGAGCAGATGGAGGAGGAGGAGAATGAGCAGGTATGTCCCCAGCATGACGCAAGCCTCTCCATGACGACTGGTCGTCAGAGACGGCAAGAGGTGGAGCGGAAGCGAGCATGGAATCTAACGAAGCTGCTCGGCACGTCAAGTTCAAGGTCAGGAGAAGGGCATAGGGGCGATGCTGACGTGAGCGAAGGACCAAGACAAAGCTCGTTTACACCAATTCGTCTTAGAACAGAGGTAAAGATAACAGTAGGGTAAGCAGTGGAACCAACAATGCACCAGCATGTCAAACAACGAGATGAACCTACTGGTCTGTGACGAACTCGTTAACTCTAGACGTTTGCTGAGACGCCAAGTGAGGAGGAGGAGGATGGCAAGGAAACGAGGAAGAGGAGGAGGAGGAGGAGGAGGAGGAGGAGGAGGAGGAGGAGGAGGTAGCGGTGGTGGTGGAGGATAGCGTGAGGAGGGGAAGTTGGTTGAATGGTCCAACCCTCACTCTCACACCGAAAATTTGAAGTCACGAGGGATCTCCAACTGCTTCAGGTGGGCAGGAGGCGGGTGGCAGCTGAGAATGGCATGGCACAGCAGGTGGGGCTGGTCGAAGTGAATGTTGTGCCCGGCCTCTGCTATCACATGCACTCCTGTGTGCATCTTCCTCCTCCTGTTCCGCACCTCGTACCCGCTGTCCGAGTTGATCCAGCTCTCCTGGCCGTATATGAACGTGACAGGAAGCAGCTCGTTCAGCTCCTCCACCCTCGGCAGCAGCGGCCGCTTGGCGAAAGCGAGAGGGCCGCACAGGTGGCGGAAACCGCGGGGCCCGGTGGGGACGTCGCAGACGTTGCAGTGGTAGAGGTAGGATACGAGGGCGTCTGCCGTCTCCTGGTCCAGCCGCCGTACCATCCTCTTCCTGAACCTCCGGAACACAGAGAAGCCGAGCGGGCCGAACATCCGGAGCATAGAGACCGGGTCTGTCACGTGCATGAAAATGTGGTTCACGGTCCTGAGGAAGGGAGAGATTTTCCGTATCCTCTCCGGGTCGAGCTCCGGGAAGCCCCATGCGTCGATGAGGACGAGGCTCGAGCACAGGCTGGGGTACTTCAACGCGAAGCAGCTTGCGATGTAGCCGCCGAAGGAGTGACCACCGAGCACGAAAGAAGAGAGTTTCATCTCCCTCCTCCAGATCTCCAGCGCCTGCACAAACATCTCCTCGACTTCCTCCGCACCCTCAGGGAACTTGGGTCGCGAGGACAAGCCGAACCCCGGCATGTCTATCGCTACGACATGATATCGTGAGGAGAGCTCGTCTATGCACTGATGGTATACACTCAACCCGCAGCCCATGCCATGAAGGAGAACTAAAGTTTGCTTGTTCTGGCCAGCCTCCGCCCCCTGGTCCCTTGTAGCCAATGTATGAATCCAATGTCCTTGAAATCTCTTCTCTTTCGGCGACAAAGTGCACGTCTCACCCAGTTTCACGTCTCTGATGAGGTAGGGAACTTTCACGCTCCGAAGGAGCTTCCTCTCGTAGAAAGAGCACACGTCTCTCGAGCTCAGGCACCAGTTGTAGGCAGCCGGTGGGTTTTCGGCCATCGACGAGTTTGTCATGCTGGTGAAAGAGGAGATCCTGTACCTCGAAGAAGAGGAGAGATTCAGAAGAGCAAGGCTAGAGAGGTAAGGAAGCGAGCCAAGACTAGGTCCACATGCTCAGAAACAAGTGCTGTGAGCTATCCCCGCCCGCACCGTCTCCAGCAACTTTCCCCACCAAAATCCCTTTAAAAGGTGCTAAAAACAAATAAAGAAAAACTTAAAAAACAATCAGGAAAACAAAAAAAAACGTGAGGGTGGTGGAAATAGGAGCAGGAGGGTACTGGTGGGTAATGGGTAGGGGTGTAGCAAGAATCCGGGTGGATGTGGCAGGGTACAGACTGTCAGGGGGAGGGTACATCGAAAATTCAGTACGGGTACCTATGTTTTCAGTACAGAAAAAGGCTATAGGTAGGGGTCAAGTTTTAGAGGGTAATGAATTGTGGGGGTGGGTCGATCCTATCGGGTGGGATGTGACCAATCCCAAGGGGTGATGAGGTGTAGTATAAAACTATTGTTTACAAGGTTAAAAGTTTTGTAACATTGAACCATTCTTGTGTATTGGTACTATTTTAAAATATTTCACTAAAAACTATATACATGTATAATCAATTAAAGTAGAATCCAGTACTCATGAGTTGTTGCTGTAGTGCCGCTATGCTCTACGGGAAAACAGGGTCCCCAGCTCGAAATTCCCATCGGGTGGGTAGTAAATGTTTGAAATTTTCCAAAACGATGACCCCAAATCTTGGTTTATTGCTGTAAATTAACAAACACATTTTCTAATTTGTGGTGTGTCGCTCAAATCTATTTGCTGTTTGGATAGGAGGGGGTGGTTGACACCACCGGTCTGTAAACGGGGGTGGTGATGATGCATCAGCAGGGTGGGGAAGGGAAGGGGTCATGGCGCGGAGAGCAAACTGCTTTCGAGTTAGCAAGGAGGCGCAGGGCACAGGGGATGGAGGATGGAGGATGGAGGATGAGGAGATATGTTGTCTGGCATGAAGGTGGATAATCGTGCGAACTAGCAAGAGATGGATTGCGATCCACCATGATGGGGTGGGAGTAGAAAGCTTGTTCCGGGGTGAAGTTTGTGCTGGGCAAACGCAGTCGCCGTTCACCCTGTTGGCCATGAGGAGGAAGGTGGACTTATTCTCTTTCGTCACAAACGAGTGAATAGCAGAATGGGTTGTTGATCTTTTTGGAATCAAGAAGGCCGCACATGGAGCAACGATGTACTCAACGTAATGGTGTCGAGATTCGAAAGGACTTTGGAGAGGCAGTGAAAATGTACGAGGTCAGGTAGAATAACAGCAAGGCGATCTTGATTTTCTGTCCATCTACGACATGAAGAAGATCTTCATTCTGGTGCTGTACGCCCATCATGCAATGACTGTTGTAACCTTTCATAATACCTAATCTGCTGTGAGGAAAGTGGATAGAGCTTAGTTAGGGCCACCTTGAATTTGAAGCAGTTTACACATGCACTTGCTAGTCCTTGTTTGCTAGTCAGCCTGATAGGATGTGAAGGCGGGAAACAATCGAGAAGAGCTAAGTGTTTGAAATGCACTCTCAGTTATGTCATGTCGTTTGAGGTGTAGTGTATTTTTCAGATTCGATTGTGAGTGTGTCAGGGGTGCGGAGAGATCGGACGATTCATTTTCTGACACGTGTGTTGGTTGCAGAGCTCCATCTCGGACAAAGACAGAAATGGTGAAGGCGCACATTGATGCTCGTCATCTGGACAACAGTCCGGCAGAGGCTGCGCCCTTGAAGTTCTTCAACATGCGGGCCTGCGAGAGGTTCGTTTTCAAGAGGCGGGATAAGCGTTGCCTCACGTTGCCACCGCGTTCGAGCATCGTTCCTGCGCTGATTCACTTCTCGGACCTGTACCCTGACGTGATCCACTGTATGCTTGAGAAGTGCAAGGAGGTGATAGTAGATTGTGAGAAGGTCTTCCTGTTGAAGCCGCGACAAGAGCACGAGCTGTTCGATACGATCGTTTGGGAGGGGCAGGGGCGGGACCTGCCGGATGATTGCTGGAGGCGTCAAGGGGCTCTGCTTCGATGTCTGGACATGATCGTCTACAAAGTGCATGCACACGACCGGAGACGGGAGCTACTCAAAGTTGAGCTCGAGCTCTGGAATGTCATCGAGCCCTGTCTCAAGAGAATCTCAACCTTTGCAGACAAATTGACTGAGCACAGTTGTGCGCTGGAGAACCTGCGGACGGTGGAGGAGGGGATGAATTTGCTGGCTTCCGACCGCCCATGGAATGTTCATATCAAGGCGAATCATACTGACAAGAGCCCGACGGTTGGAGATCGAGAGCATTACCTTCACTTCAACCCCAAGGCAGGAATATTCGTGCGCAAGTACGTTGAAGATCAGGGTGACGGGCATCGGCACGTTACCCCCCTCGTCACGTTGCCCTTCCGATTGCAGAGCATTCTGCCGCAGCATCCTCAGCCCAAGATGATTGTTTCTTACCTTGCGACGGTTACAGATCGCTTTGTCTCGGAGGATCTCCGTTATATCGTGAAGCTGCTCGACGATTCAAGCAGCTGTTGGCCGAAAGCCAGGAGCTCGAGGAGCATCAAGTCAATCTCCACCAAGTCCAAGAGGCGACTGCCAAAACCTGGTCATGAGACGTGCTCGCGCAAGAAAGCCAAGGAGTGCAGTAATGAAAGTGATGACAAGCAGGTGGCTGCCAAGTGAGGTTGATCACTGCCTTGGAAGCATGTGTTGATGCCCCACATGGTACAGCCTGTACCCAGAACGATTTGAAAGGGGAGGGCATGGCAACTCACTGAAGTTGTGCGTATGGGAACATACACTGATAACAGAAGTTTGAGATTAAACGTGTATATTAAGTACTCAGGAATCATTGAAATCACTCGCAATGAAGAGCCATGCTCCAGTCAACCTTCTCCAGGACCGCTTGCAACATGAGCAGCGCACAAACCATCATCGCATCCACACGCAATGGGGCCGAGCAGAGCCAGCAGGAGCAGCAAGCATGCGCGACAAGCACTCTCTCCTCTCAGAGCTGGCAAGCAAATCGAAAAGATTGGCGGGCATGAGATCTGTCAGTCGCGCTGCATGCAAGCGGTAGGATGCACGCAGAGGAGGCAGGCAACGCGTCAACACAAGCTGCAAGCGCAAGCCAGGCTGGATCACCAAGGAGTGGAGACTGCATGCCGCGAGCAAATACAAGAAGCATACTCGATTGGCGAGGCATGACCATCCTTTCCAGGCGACGCTACAGAGAAACCAAGAAATCTGCAAAGGGTCAAAACAAGCTGCTTAATTCCCCGAAACCGAATATCGAGAGCGTTGCAAGCTTGAATGAGGAGGTCAGGGATATCCAGTCTGTCCACCATACGGATATTGAGATTGCTCCTGACTCGGATCATAAACAGAACCTTGCCCTCCATATTGCATGTTAGGCATTCCAAAGTTCGACTGCATCTGCGGATACCCCACCATCCCCATCCCCATCATCCCGCTCTGAAAGCCTCCGGCCATTCCACCATACCCCTGGGGTTGACCACCGCTCATGCCCATGTTTCCTTGAGCCATTCCCATGCCGTACGAGAACGAGGGGTTTGACTGCTTCACACGTTTGACGATGCCAAGGAAGAAAGCAGTCTTGTTTCTGATGTCCCGAAGATTGGCTTCACAAAACTTCTCGATGACTTCAAGTGCGGACTGCAGCAGACCGTTACACCCAACGTCATGTCAAGGAATTCATACCGCTTCGGGAAGTGCCAAAAGTTCCATGAAGCATTTTGCGTCCAAGTCCGTTCTGTATACCAAGTTCGATTGGAACATTGTTTCAACCTTAGCTTGGACAGAATAAGGCAGACTGAGAAAGGTCTGAGATGTGAGACTAGGATCCGATGCTTGAACCTGACACAACCCCAGTCAGCGACAAAACCAATAAGCATAGAGAACTGACCTGCTCCCTGAAGCGCTTGATGATGCCCATGAAGAAACCAGATCGACTGTGAATACTCGACAGGTCTGCTTCATTGAATTTCTGCACAACTTCCAGGGCGTATTGTTCGGGCAGTGCCCTCAACTGTCAAGAAAGAAATCAACAGAAATTTGTGAGTAGCTCACTGCGTACCTGCTCCATGCACCGAGAATCGATGTCACTGCGGGCACATTTTCCACTGGCAAACAAGGCATCCAGCTTCTGCTGGACAGAGGGAATCAATCCTGCTGGCGGGATCATGGGAGAAGGCTGGAAGACCATGCCCGTGTAGGCAGGGGGAGGTACAGCAGGGACGTTCATGCCCATCGGATGCATGACTCTGACTGCCGCACCTTCAGTTCTGAACCTCTTGATGACTCCAGCAAGAAACGCTGACTTGCTCCGCATGGTGGACATGTCGGCATCACAAAAATGTTCGATGATCTGCACGCCCACGGAATCGGAGAAATCGCACAAGGATGCAACAATCTTAGAGTCTAGCTCATCCCGCCTGCATTTGCCAGTAGAGAACAACCATTCTAGCTTTGCCTTGGTAGCCGGCTTCGAGTCCAAAACTTCCGGAAGTTTCGATGAGGACTCAACTGGCTTCTCCTGCGCGGGGGTAATCTCGCCCTTGGCCTCTTCTTGCTTTGAGTCGGTCTCGATACTGGTATGCCCATTCTGATCTGATTTGGTTTCATCAGATTTCTGTTCATTGACATCTTTCTCTTGAGTGGAATCCGGTTTTTCCCCTTCTTCTTCTGAAAAACCTTCATCACAACAAGCTGAGATATTCAGAACAGCTCACCACTTGCTTTTGGCTTCTTAGCTGCACTGGCCTCGTCTTCTTCGGTGGGACTCTCCACCTTCCGCTTGTTCTCGTTTGAAGACATCGGACAAGAAAGCTACCTGCTCCCAATCAGATCAGTTAGGAAAGGAATGTTCGTCAGAATAAAATAGAACATAACATAGCTGTAACAAGGGGAGAGGTTGAGGGGTGGATGGAGAAAGGGGTAAGGAGGGAGAAGGAAGGGAGTGGAACGGAGCGGAACGGAGCGGAACGGAGCGGAAATTAATGGAAGGGCATGGAAGGGCATGGAAAAACGGCAGGAAGGGCATGGAAGCAGGAAGGAGAAGGGGGGGGGGGGGGAGGGGATAGGAGGGCGAGGGGAGGGGAGGGGGAGGAGTGTGTGGGGAAGGAAGGGACGGGGACGGGGGGGGGGGAGGAAGGGCATGGAAGCAGGAAGGGGAAGTGAGAGGGGGAGGAGAAAGGGTTGGGGGTGCGGCGGCGAGGGTAGCGGATGCTTGTGCATGGCTGCAGGGTCCAAGGAATCACCGTTACAGACGTTACGAGAAATTACCGTTATTGACCGTTACAAACTGGTAGCGGCAAGAATTTTTGACCGCATTCAAATTCCGATGAAGCGGTACCAGTGAAGGGAGGGACAGGAAAGCAAGACAGAAGAGACGAGCGAGGAGAAGAAGAGAGGGAAACAAGACAATGGTTGAACGCGAAGAAGCATTCCTTCAATGAGGTAGTATGACCGTTTACTGGATCTTGAACAGCAAACTTGCGCGTGTCGATCACAAGTTTTAATAGTTCGCTGCTCTGTCCCCGACGTAGGCAGCACAAAAGTTATGGTTGTGAAAGTTCCATCGCTCTGGCAAGCTGGCAAGAGCCCGAGCTTGAACGAGTCGAAGACGTCTTCATTCAGCGCAAGGCTTGCGCATCAGTCTGCTCCTGAAGATTCTGTGCTGGCTCGCTCGAGCTTGACTGAGAGGAGTTCGAACAGGAAGCTAGTTTACGACTCGGAACTCAAAGACATCTCACTGTCTGGGCTGGGAAGTCAGCAGATGAAGAGTTGGAACCAGAGGCTAGGCGAAACCATCTCAGAGTTCGACGAGTATGAGGAGCTTGTCAAGAAGGAGATCGAGCTAAAGTCGAACAGGAAACAGGAAAAGTACGAGGGCAATCGGAAAGAGAAGGTTGAGAGGCCATCCACAAGCTTCATCAAACAAGCTGTCATCAGTGCCAACGAGTCGTTCATCGGCCCGACCGCCCAAGGGTTGAGCTCCAGCCGACAGAGCTTTGCGACTCCGCCGGTAGACGACCAGCTCCCCTGCCAGTATGTTTCTCTCACCCCAAGGAAACTTCGCCTTCAGCCCATGTTGTGCCTACCCCTCGAAGTGTCCTCCAAGACCGTCTCACCCTTCTGGCGCAGCAAACACGATGAGGCTCCCACAAGACTCGGCACGAGCAAGCTGCCCACGGCTAGCGAATCGCAGGGATGGAAGGTGGACGCAGTCGACAAGAAGAAACCAGACGACATCGAGCTCAAGGAGAACGAGGAGTACAAGCTGATCATAGAGCACAAGCTTCTTAGCTGCGATGTGCTGTCGCCTGATCCGAGAGTGGGCGATGAGGCTCCGCGCGTGTCGTCCCTTCAGGAAGAAAACTCCAGCAGCTCGTCTGGCAGCAGCATGGCGAGCACTCCACGGGTTGCCAGGGAGAGGATCACCAGCGTGAAAGACTTCATGAAGAGCAACTACAGGAGGTGGGCGGCTGACTGGAACCCGGAGATGAAGGCAGCATGGGAGGGATCAGCCAAGAGGCTGGAGATGCTGCAGAGGGACGAGATCGTCCTGCTGCACCACCTGGAAGGGGATCTGAACGAGAAAACCTTCACGTGCAGCAGCATCTCCGCCGACATCTTCTCAGCTCCTAGCCCCCTCCTTGCGGAGAAGACAAGGGAGAGCTACCTGATCGATGAGACGCAGGTGGAAGACGACAGCCGCTGCTTCCTTGAGCGGCGAAGGCACTTCGTCCCTACACACAAGAGCTCGTCCTACGAGTCGTCTACTGACCTGTCACAGGCCCGGTCGCCCCTTGGGACCGCGCCGTCCATGGAGAACTTGGAGAAGGAAAGCGAAGAGGAGTTCTTGAGCTCGGCCCCCGTCCTCCCCATCAACGGCAGCAGCGACTCTCCTCGGAGGCTTGACGCCTCCTGGCTGAGGAGCTCGGTCCTCCAGGACAGTACCAAGACTCCCCCCAGGTACGGAGCCCCCCGGTACGTCTTCGGAAACACAGACAAGAGGCTGACCGCAGGCTCCACTTTCTCGCAAGGGACCTCGGTACAAAGTCCTCTTGTTCTCTTCCCCTCTGACGCCCAGAGTCTGCAGGAAGTCGCAAGGCGCTCCAACCATGGCGGCTCAAGGGCGGGGATGGAGGGGAGCAGAGAGGGAGGGCGGGCAACGACGCTGTACAGCTCGGGGAAGACGATCAAGGCCCTGGTGGACAGGCTTGGGGAGAGGGAGGAGAGTTCCAGTACAGCCAGCATGCTCACAAGCAGATCAGATCCTGACTTGGAGAATTTGCGGCAGCGGCAGCTGGTAAGGAAGACGATGCAGATCCTGGGAGAAGGGATGGGCAAGCAGGGATCAGCGGGCGATGATTGAGGCGAGAGGGATCGAAGGAGACCCGGGCAGTCGCGGTGGGTGAGATGGAGGAGAAAAAATCTGGAGGGAGGGAGGATCAAGACAAGGTGAAGGAAGGGGATAGTACGATATAATCGAGATGTTTCAACCTCCAATCGCCATCATTACGCGCTTTCAAACGATGTGCTTCCTCCCTCCCTCCTTCCTCCTTACCCTCATAATCTCTCCCTCCTCCTCATCCACCCAACAACTTCCGAACTCTCTTCGTTAACTTGAGGCTCTAGAATACCCCGGGAATGAGAAAATCCCCACTGTCTCTTCTCGCACCTTCTTCGCTGTCTTGTTCTCCATCCTCCCTGACGATGTCCGATAGCGGAGAAGACGCCCTGCTGTCATGAAGGTCCCGCCTCTCACTCTCCTCCTCCTCCTCCTCCTCCTCCTCCTCCTCCTCCTTCCCTTCTCCATACTCATCATCATATCCACCATGATCATCATCCTCATCATAATCCTCCTCCTCCTCCTCCTCCTCCTCCTCCTCAAACTGAGCACCGCTCTCGGCCGTGAACAGCAGCGCCTGCAGGTGTGCCTGCGTGCTGCTTGCAAGACTTTTGATCTCCTTTCCCAGCTTCACCAGCCTGGCAGCGAGCGACTGCTCGTCCTCCTCCCCCCCTCGGCCCTTGAGCACCATGGCCTCCTTGCAAGGGATCCAGGAGACGTCGGGGATGTGCTTCCTGACCACTCCTCCTGCCTCGTCCAAGTCGTTGAGCTTCTTGAAGACATAGGACTCGAAGCCTGTGTGCTCGTCGATGCTCTTCTGCGAGAGGTAGACGATGAAGTAGAGGAAGTCCCAGATGTTGTGGTCCTTCTTCACGTGCTGCTCGAACCCCAGCCCGTCCCTCGAGTTGATCTCGAACCTGTACCTCTCCAGCCCGCAGATAAAGCAGCGGAGGTTCAGGTCCTCCTCCATGTCCTGGTTCTGCTTGCGCAGCTCCCCGAACGTATCGATGATGATGCCGAAGATGATGTTGAGGAGGATGGTGTTGACCAAGATGAAGAACGTCGTCGTGTACGCGATGCGGAGGATGATGTACGGGCCCACGTCGATCCCACCTATCCCGAGGCATCCCATGTACTCTAGACCAGGAGGGGAGGAGCAGGGCTCCACAGTGGTCCCCGGCATCACGCTCCGCCACTGGATGTCCTCCAGCGCTCCTCCGACGTCTCCCTTGCGCAGCCCCATGTCAACCACGACCAGGAAGCACTTCCACACTGAGTCGCAGCGAGCCGAGTTGACGTTGTAGCTCATCTCGTCTCCGTTGCGCACCTCCGCCGCCTCGAACGCGAAGTACTCTGGGAAGAGGACGAAGCCGATGGCGCTGTAGATGAACATCATGACAAAGGCGAGGGCCGCGGTCTGCAGGAGGGTGTTGGCCCTGCTAGACACTGCCCTGACGACGTTGCCAAGGGCGCGGCTGAGGTGGAACATGTCGATAAGGTGGGAGATGAGAAAGAAGAGAAAGCGGGGGTCCTGGGAACCGAGGTAGAGGGCCAACAGGTTCATGACCAAGTAGAAGAGGAGGAGGAGGAGGAACTTGTCGGTGAGGAGGATTGTGCCGAAGAGATAGAAGTACTTCGGGCCACCGTAGAGCTCCGTGTAGACTTGGTAGTAGTCCGGGCGAGAGAGGAAGATCTTTTTGACTCGGAAGAAACCTGATTCGATCATGTACCTGCTCAGCCTGAGCAGGCACAGGACCAACTGAAAGGCAGCGAAGGTCAGGATCGGGCTGACGAAGGAGGCGGGCAGGACGATGTTGCTCATGTTCTCAAGGGTGACGTACTGGGTGTCCTTGTACCTGAATCCGAAGAGGATGAGGAAGTTGAGGAGGAGAGCGTTGAGGAAGAACGAGACGTCGAGGTGCTTGCTGACTCGGTGGAAGGCCTCGTAGACGACAGATTTGTGCAGCTCGTACATGTACACCATCTCGTCGTACCGGAGGAGGGAGCTCTCCACCAGCCCGAGCATGCGGTCCTGGTGGTTGCCTCTGTTCAGGTCCCGCAGGACGTCGTTCTTCGCTTCCCTGCTGAGGTGACGGCAGATGGCGGGGATCTGGAAGAAGACCCTCTCCAGCTTCCCGTCGCGGGAGATCTCGATGAAGCCGCAGTTGGCCTGCAGGCGGACGAAGTCTTGGATGACTTCCTCATTGAGCTTCGAGGCCAGGTCGTGCTCGTCCTCCTTGTCAAAGTACTGCAGCATCACCACCAGCATGAACAGCGAGCAGGCGACCTGGAAGGCCCCGTGCTGACTGATCTCCTCCACAGCCACCTTCCCCTCCTCGTAGTGGCGGAACTTGGCGTTGTCCCCCGCAAGGTACTGCTCCTGCAGCGAGTTCATCTGCATGATGAGCTTGTCGATCTCCAGGGCCTTGAGGATCCTGGCGGGGATGAAGGGGTCGTCGACGCGCTCGAGGAGGGAGAGGAGGAGAGTCACCGACTTGTTCTTCAGCGCGTCCACGTCCGCCTCGTACCTGCTGATGTCCACCAGCTGGACGCTGCAGGTGGGAATAAGCTGGAGGAACTGGTTGAGGACGTGCGGGAGCTGAGTGTCCACCAGCGCCCGCTGGTTCTTGTAGCAAGGGTTCTGGACGAACTCGATGAGCGTGTCAACGCCCTGGAGGGCGAAGGCGATGGAGCAGGGGTGCATGTGCCTTGAGCAGGCGGCAAGGAACTCAGCGCAGGAGGAGACGAGATCGATCGACTTCTTGCCCTGGAACCGGACGTACTCCTGCATGTCCTTGTTGTGCCCCTCGCACAGGAGCTGCAGGAAGCGGAGGATGAGGAGGACCTGGCTGCCGTAGAAGACGTCGTTCGCCCTGTCCTCCTTCATGATCTCTTCTATCCCTCCCAGCGTCAAATCGAACCCCTTGTTGCTGCTCTGCGCCGAGAGCTCGGAGCAGTACTTGTTGAACGAGCTCTGGAGCATCGGGAGGGACCTCTCAGCCCGCACCAGGCGGTCGCGCAGGTTCTGAAAGAGCGAGTTCTTCTCGTCCCTCCTGAGCAGCTCCATGAAGGCCCCCTGGCAAGGCGCCTTCCCGTTGTCGAGCATGAAGTTTGAGATGTTGAGGCACTCGAGCACGACCTTGTCCTGCTTGTGCGACGTCGACATGATCTCAATCACCATCTTCGCGATCCCGTGCTTCAGCCACCTCCTCTTCTCCTCCCCCTCCGCCGTGCAGTTAGCCCTGCTCTGCTTCTGCTGGATCATAACAAGGTCCTTGACGATCTTGAGAGCCCTCTCCGTCAGCTGGTGGGAGAGCTTCGACGAGTTTGACAGCATGCTGATCAAGCTCTGCATGTGCTGGAAGCTGATGCTACCCTCCCCCCCGTCTCCTCTCGCGCTGCCCTCCAGGAACGCATTCTTCAGCCGCTGCCCCTCATCATGCTCGCACGACTCCATCGATCTCAAGAACTCGTTGGCAAACACGACGACGCCGCTGGGAATGTCCAGCTTCTGACCCTGCCGCCTCTCCTCTTGCTCCTCAAGGCTCCTCTCGATCTCCTTTCTCCTCTCAGCCACACAGCTCTCCTCGAACAGCTTGTCCTCCTCCTGCTCCGAGGCCGAACCAGCGGCGTGCGAGCTGCTGGAGTCCTTCAGGCTGATCTTCAACGAAGAGAAGCCAAACACGTCTTGGAACTTGGGGTGGAGGAACTTGAAGCGAGAAAAGGAGGAGCGCAGGTTGGAGGTCAGCAACGAGACCAGGTCAAGGATTCTCAGCTCCTCGTGTGCTTGCAGTACCCTCCTGTCACTGTCCAGCAAGTCCAGCAGAACCTCCAGCAGGTGCCCACCGACCTTCACCCGGATGTTGTCTCTCTGCATCAGGTCGGCAGGTGGGAGAGAGCTGAAGAGAGCCTGGGCCGAGTCCAGGTACCCGACGATGAGGAGGGACCTCTCGCTGCTGGACAGGAGCTGGGTCTTGTGCCCTTGCGGGCTGCAGGGCAAGAGCTCGATAGAGCGCGCAAAGTGCTCGAAGATGTCGCACAGCTCCAGCTGGAGGCGCAGGTGGGCATTGACCATGTCGACCCTGACGTAGGCCTCTGTGAGGAAGGCGAGGAGAGCTTCCTTGATCTTGGCCGGCAGCTTCTCATCCCTCAGATCCTCCACGATGTCGTCCAGTGACATGGCCAGGGGGCTGCCGGCCCGCCGGAACCGGGCCTTGTTCTCGAAGTTGGACTCCTTCATGCACATAGTAAGGAGGCGGATGGACGCGAGGTAGCAGCGCAGGACTCCCTGGGAGGTGTTGGGATCATCCAGCATCGTAGCTCTTGTGCTCCTGCCCGCGGCTCCCTGGAAGAGAGGGAGCTGGATGCTGTTCAGCTCGAGGTACTTGGTCACGAGGTTCTGATTCCTCCGCAGGATCTGCTGCTTGGGGTGGATGAGCACCTGCAGGAAGTTGAGGTAGCAGACGTCCACCTCATCCTGCATCAAGTCGGTCACGTGCGAGATCAGGCTCTCTTCTACGTTGTAGCACAGGTCCACGTTGTCGGAGTAGATGGCGGAGAGCAGCATGACGACACTTCGCGGGATGGAGTCCTGGAACGTCCTGAAGATGCTCAGGTGCTGACTGAGCTCGTGCTGGATCGGGAGGCTGTCATTGCAGAGGGCCGCCAGGCACTGGAAGCAGAGAGGGCCCGTGGTCTCCTGGAAGTCAGCTGGGAGACATCGGAGGAGCCTCAGCAGAACTTTGTGGACGCTCTTCCTTTGGAACAGCCTCCTCTGGACCACCGGCTTGTCATCGCCGATCATCTCAAGCAGCTTGTTCAGCTTCGGCTCGACAGACGAGATGGCCCTGATGCGCAGGTCGTTGTCCTTGCTCGCCTTACTCGAGATGTAGTGCATGCGCTCCACAGTGAAGGACTGAATGTCGTTAGCCACCCGCAGGAAGTTCAGGGTGAGCCGATCGGCGAAGCGATTCAGCACGTCGCTGTCGTCCTCAATAAGGATCAGAGTGTTGGACAGGGACTTGTGGAGGAAGAACTGGTTTTGGTGGGTCCTAACGAGCAGGCTGAAGGCGTCGACCACCAGGGGCTCATAGGGGAAGATGATGAGGTCAGCAAGGCAACTCGACAGCCACCCGTCCTCGTCGAGGTTCATGAACTCTATGATCTTGATGAACTCCCTCCTTGGAGCTCCTGGTTTCTTGCGCAGGCTCGTCTCCTCCGACGACCCCTGCTCGCTGAACAGACTGGGAAACTCCATGAATGACCGCAAGGAGCTGAGGAAGTAGAGGTTCAAGCACAGGAGGGGGGTGAGAAGGCAACACCACAGCAGCTGGGTCCAGATGCCGTAAACGCTGTCATTTGCATTGCTGTCGGCAAGCGCAAACGAGAAGCAAACAAGGGTGTTGAGAAAGAAATAGACCAAGTAGCAGCACTGAACGACAAGTCCCGCCTTCAAGAGGTTGAGATGCCTTTCAGACGGCGAGTTCAAGATCGCCACCCTGTGGAAGGTGTAGACTGCAAAGCAATTCACTATGAGGGAGAGAGCCCAAATGACGGTAAGGATCAGGTTGACGACAAGCGCGGCATACCCGTTAGACAGCCCTGGGTGACTGGAGTAACGAGCAGAGCTTCCCAGTGCCCAGCCTGCAGCTCTGACTTCCTGGATCCGAACAGAGAGCAAGATGATCACAACGGTGGCCAGAACATACTGCACGAACGATGAAAGGACGACTATCCTGTCAATTCGCAGCGCATCGCTGTAGATTCTGAACAGCGGCTTCAGGCGCACAGAAAGCTGAGGGAGGTAAGGGAAGGAGATGCTGATCACGTCAGGCACCGTCTTCTGGTTAGCTAGGACCTTGGATGGGAACCTGTGCAGCAGTTGCCCCGAGTTGTCTGCCAGCATACCCAGCACGTACTCTTTCTTTGACACGTTCAAGTCAAACCGATATTCCTGCAGCATCTTGGTGGTTCGAACCGACAGGCTGAGGTCGTAGATCGCGTCTAGCAGCGAGCAAGCCTCCCTCTTCGTCTCCAGGATGATCTGAAGCTCGTCGGTGAGCTGCAGTCTGCCGGACTTATCACAGTACTCGACGAACTCCGTGAAGTCGTTGGCAGTCAGGATCAGAGCGATCACCCTCTGAGAGCAGCGGACCTTCCAGGGCCAAGTCTTGATCTCTCCTATGAGAGACTCTCTGCCAAACTGCTGGCCAGGCAACAGAGTCTCCACGACAATCTCCACTCCCTCTCGGGTCTCGATCACGAACACTGAACCTGTCTGGATGACGTACATGGCTCCTGCCGCGTCATTCACTTCCACCAACGTGGTCCCTGGTTCGAACACGCGCACTTGGAAGGCGGAACAGATGCGGGGGATCTCGAGGGGAGTGACGAACTTGCAGATGGGGCGGAGGTGCTTGAGTGCGGCCGAAATGGTTTGATCAGACAGCAGCAGCGCATTCTTGTCCGCCTCCACCTTCTTGTCGGACTTGGTCAGCGACGAGCTCCTTGCACGGTCCTTGTCGAAGTGAAAGTTGTTCTCAGTCCGATTGAAGCGAAGAGAAGAAAAGTCCAGCAGGTCCATGGTCTCCTTGATCACTGACTTGAGGTCTTCCTCGCACACAAACCCAAATACCAGCAACTGCTTGCAGAGCTTCAGCATCGAGAGCTTCAGCTCGTTGGCGAACGGCCGCTCCCCCGGGTACATCTGGCAAGATGACTGAGCAAAGTACTCCCTGACGATGGTTCTCAGGTCATACAGGTCCTTGGGAGGGTCGGGATTCCTTGCAGAGTCTGGCTGTTGACTGCCTGCCTGCTTCTCCTCAGTGACTCTGTTCAAGAAGTGAAAGTTTTGGTATGAGTCAAGATCCTTCCAGATTGAGATTCCGGTTAGCCTGGTGATGCTGTTGAACTCATCGCCCTCCACGTAACAGAACCTGATGAACTCGCACACGTGCCTCCGAAGGTGTTCAGACAGCCTGTCGTCCTGCAGACAGGATATGCAGACCTCCAAAGGCACAAACTTCTTCACCCTCCCGATGATGAACTGCCTCCTTCCCAGGGAGTCGGGCTTGCAAAGGTTGGCTAGCAGCGCGAAGGTTTCAATCCAGTACTCCAGCATCCTTCGACTCTGATGACCTCGCTTCCCCGCACGTGACATGTCGGCCACGAGATCCCCGAGGTCCCTCCATGTCGAAGGGTTCTCAGAGATCGCGTGTCGAGCATCGAAGAGCTGCACGGCCTGGCACTCCACCCGCACCCGGAGGAGGATGTCATCGACTTCGTCAAGGATGCTCTCCAGGACGATGTCTTGGTGGCGGGAGATGCCTCTGTCTGCTACAGCGGTGAAGGCAGACAGAAATCGCACGTGCATCGGATCCTTTCCCTCAGTCGCCAGGGCCCGGAGGTGAAATCGGATGTGATCATCCCGGGTAGCGTCGCCAGCCAAGGACAGAAGGAGCTTCTCGTTGCCTTCGAGCACCTCCAGCAGAACTCGTTCAGCTCCGATGTCCAGGATGAGGTGGTCCTGCATCTCATTCAAAAAGCTCGCGACCTCTATAGAGTTCTTCTTGTGTTTGTGCACAATGTGCCAGAGGACTGAGTAGCACATTTGAAGAACCAATTTGGCGCTTCTGTTCCTTGGTAGGTTCAACAAGTTTGTGGGGCTGATCAGTTTGTACAGCCCAGAACTCTTCGTTTGATTGACTTTCTTTTGTGTCTTGTCACTCTTCAGGTTGTTTGCGGGCTCAGCAGTCGTCGGTACCTGCTTCAACCAAATCTTGCAAGTCTGCCGTATGATCGCAAAGAGCAGCTGGGGAACTCCCAGGTCATGCATGAAGTTTTGACAATACTCCAGCGGGTTCATCTGCAGCAACTCTTTGTCATTCAGCACGGCTATCTTCGTCCTGTCCCTCACTTGGATGTCATAGATGTACAACCTCAAATCCGACAGCCGGTCAAGAATCTCCAGCACTACATCTTCAGAGAACTCGATGCTCTCGAATTTGTTCATCTGCATCAAGTAGCTCTCCAGGGTTGGCAGGATACCAAGAACCACATCGACAGACCTTATCTGCTCTTCAGGGACCTGCTCCACATCGAAGCTGTCCTCTCGGAACAAGGCGGGAGACGAGACAACCACTCGTTCGGGCAACTTGGACAAGTCTTCCGCTAATCTCTCCTCGTAAGAGATCTGATGATCCTCCTCTATCACATTCAGTCTAGCGATCTGCGAAGAATCTGCATCTTCTAACGGACGCAACGGGTCGCTCAGTTGATGTGAGTTCATACAGTGAAGATAGTCTCTTGTGTTTGTGTGCATCAGCCTGATCCTGCCTGACCACTGCAGATGCAAGTTCTGGTGATCGTCATCGTAGGGCTCGAAGCTGAAGAACACACCGTGAGAGTGATTGGCACTCAACTTCACAGCAGAAAACAGGCTTCGAGAGCTGTCCTCCTGGCCATCGTCATAGCTTTCGTGGACAGTGTTGATTCTCAGAGCTGGTTGCAGCTTCTCAGCAGTCACGCAGAGATAACGTTTCGTCACGAGATGCATCAGACTGTAGCTATGGTGCAGCTTCACTAGACCTCCGATGAGGGGATTCTTGTCTGCCACAACCCACATAGTTGAAGAGAGCGAGGTTTGACCTGACTGTAGGTAGACTGTGTTATCCATTCCCGTTGCTGCGATGTATGCTTGATGGAATGGATGATACAGCCGAACAACATCTCCGACTTTCACCAAAGCCTTGGACTGCAACGAGAAGGAAAGGAATGGCTCTACTTTCCATGCAGCCTCCTGGCGTATACTGAGGGTCACCTCGTGTATCATTCCGATTTCAGACGGGTAGCACGAGTTGTTTGATGCATGCAGGAACTCCCGGGGAAAGGACATGCTTTCCAAAGTGATTTGGTCTCCATAGCATACTGTATGACCCTCCACCAGGTATCTGAAACGAGGTAGGATCTTGAAACCTACTGGCTTTCCTGGCCTGTCATGGAGAACAATCTTCTTAGCCGTGGGCTCATCTCGTGGGGCCTGACTTATATCTACTCCTAGAAACGCTTGCGACTTCAACTGGCGTAGCTGTATCACATCTCCGTAATGCACAGGCTTCCCTGTCATGTGCTCGGCTTGCGAGTCGTTGGCCTTCTTTTCCATCTGATTCTGCATCTTGACATGCTCTAACCTTGAGAAGTCCTCAACTCGTGCTCGGTTCTTGTTCAGGGATTCCCACTCTACCAAGAACCGTTCTTCCCTTGCGGTGCAAACTTCAAACACCAACTCACGAGAGGAAAGCTTTAGATGCGTATCCCAGCGCTTTCGCACGCACCCTTGCTCGCACAGGAACCCAGCGTTGTCCTCGATGAAGCTGCATGATAACAATATAAAATCTCCAAAACGCAATGCAGTCGCTTCATCGTATGGGTCAGGACGGACGAGCGCCATGGACCCGAGCAACTCCGTAGGGTTCATCCTTGCAGCTGCGAATCCTGGCTGTACACCCCTCAGACGCGGTCAGGCCTGACACTACTTGCTGTTGCCATGGGTGGGACACGTCATTCTCGGGTGAGGAGGTAGCAGCCCAGGAGGAGGGGAGAAGGGAGAGGCTCGTCCGAGCCACTCAGCGAGGCTCTAGGCCTCCCGCATCTGGCCTTCTGCCCCGACATAAGGCTTCGCCCGACCGCCACATTTAGAGGGTGCCGTTACATTTCCGTTTCATCGGATGAAACTTCAGCCGCACTGCAGCCTGGCAGTGAGGCGGACTCAGGCGGAGGCCGCTAGTGACGCCCGGTTCCGGAGTTCCCGGCGAGTCAGTCACCGTACGGACGGTCGGGTGCAGTGACGGTGAGGCGCCCAGGCCGGCGGCAGCCGGGACCGGCTGACTACTTTACTCAAAGTTAAGCTGACCGTGTGTCGTACCAACTCATGGGCCAGTGCCGCGAGTACGTGCGACCGCGGCAGAACCCGCATAGGTGCTTCTGAATCAGAAATAGACTCGGAGTTTGCAGAGACTCATTCCAAGCACTCCATTCCAAGACTTCCGAAGTTCAATAAATAAGTTACTGGAAAGACAGCAACAAAACTGAAGTTACCGCCGGGCCGACGGTTGAGGCTGCCGCACAGCCGGCGACCCAGCCGTGACCGACTCTCCGTCCCAACGGCATTCAGTGCGGCAGTCCTGCCGAGCGCGGCTCTGAGTCCATCTACTGCCAACGTTGAGCAGCAGCATGGCAAGGCCGCCGCCCCGCCATGCCAGAGCCAGGCCCAACTGATCAGAGTCATGATACCTGGCAGGTCTGAACTGATTCATGACACCACTGCCGGCCCCCGACTCACTCAGCAGGACAGTTTCAGTGAATCCAGTCAACTATGATCGAGCTTGGCAATATTTCATCAGCGTCTCTGCACTGAGCCTACTGATGCACCATGACAACGAAATGATGCTTGAACATTGACGCCTTCAGCAGAGGCCATGATCCGATCTTTCCTTCCTAACTTTTGCCTCTACTCCCACATACCTTGCATTGCGATCGCTGCCGCCCGTGCTCGCATATGCTCCCCCCCCCGCACGCCTTGCATCGTGATCGCTGCCGCCTGTGCTCGCATATGCTCCCCCCCCCGCACGCCTTGCATGATGATCGGACCCGCCCGTGCTCGCATATGCTGCTGCCTCCGCACGCCTTGCATTGCGATCGCTGCCGCCCGTGCTCGCATATGCTGCTGCCTCCGCACGCCTTGCATCGTGATCGCTCCCGCCCGTGCTCGCATATGCTCCCCCCCCCCACACGCCTTGCATTGCGATCGCTGCCGCCCGTGCTCGCATATGCTGCTGCCTCCGCACGCCTTGCATCGTGATCGCCGCCGCCCGTGCTCGCATATGCTCCCCCCCCCGCACGCCTTGCATAGCGATCGCCGCCGCCAGAGTACGATGTCTTTACGCTCCCCACGCCTTGAATCGTGATCGGACCCGCCCGTGCTCGCATATGCTCCCCCCCCCACACGCCTTGCATTGCGATCGCTGCCGCCCGTGCTCGCATATGCTGCTGCCTCCGCACGCCTTGCATTGCGATCGCCGCCGCCCGTGCTCGCATATGCTCCCCCCCCCGCACGCCTTGCATGATGATCGCTGCCGCCCGTGCTCGCATATGCTCCCCCCCGCGCACGCCTTGCATCGTGATCGGACCCGCCTGTGCTCGCAGAGACTCCTTGTTTTCCTCTTTTGGTCTATCTTGTCAGCACCTAGCTCTTGTTCTCTACGCTCGTCTCCCCCGGGGTTTGAGCCCTCCACCTTCCTTCTCTTGCGCGACCTCTCGCTGCTTGGCATGGATCTCGCCGATACACACGCAACGTGTCAGTTTGCTTCTAGAGTGAAAACTGGCACCCCGCCTCAGAGAGCGGAACGCGCGCCCCCGGCGTGCGGCGTGACTCAGCAGGCTCACCGCCGGGGCCTGGCAGGCCCGGAGCCCGCCTGCGGCTCGTCGGATCAGGCTCCGATCGGACGGCGGAGGCCAGGATGTGACTTGAAATCCTAGCCGCAGATCCAGACATCAGCTTCCGATGATCAGGGCCGATCGGACGGTCGCTCGGACTCGTACTAGCCTACCACTGAGAGGGCTAGGCTAGGCTGCACCCCCGGGCTCGCCGAGTCGCCTCGCCGCGCGGCACCCGGCCCCGGGCGACTTCAGCCTGGCACCGGGCGGCCGGCCCGGGCGCGGCCCGCCGCCGCCGCCTCAGGGCAGCCCGGCCCGTACTGCGCGGCTAGTGCGCCGATGCCAACCGTGGCCGCCCGACTCAGATGATCATCCGATCATGGCAGATCATCAGCGGCCGCAGGCTCCGACACTCGGAATAATCCGAGGCTTACTAGACTGAGCCTCGGAGACTAGTACTACTGTAGTACTCGGAGAGTCTCCGCATCATAGTACCGTTACGGTGGCCGCCGGCTCGGGCCGTACTGATGATCGGATCTCGGAGTTTCAAGCCGCGGACAGTTTGAATGTTTTTTTAACTTGAGTTCGAGAGAGTTGAGCGGGGCTGCGGTCACAGCACTTGTAAGTGCAAAACCTGTGTGTGAGTGCAAGCTAGGCCGCCGGGTGCAGGGATGCGGCTCATGGCAGTGCTGCTGCTGGGGCTTGCGGCTTGCAAGTCGAGCATGCCGGCGCCTCCTCCGGATATGCAGCGCCAGCATGCTGCAAAGAGCTTGATGAATGTCGCGAGAATCCTCAAGCTTCGTGGCGGAGGAGATGAAGGGATGGGAGGAGTGTCGGAGTTTAGTTGTAACCATAAGGCTTCCTACCCTGGCTTCGAGGAGGATGTTGCGTATCCCCAGCCCTTCTACCGTGGTGTCGAGGAGGAGACAGAGGAGAGAGCTCCTCTGCGTGTGCAAACTTTGCACCTTGACATCACGGTAGGAGTTGAACGCCACCCGTGAGAGTCGTTGCTGTTCTGACATGTTCGATGTGTTGACAGGACTCGGACATGGACTGCCAGACTCTGGAAGGCAACCTGGTAAGTCCAGAAGAATTCTTCAATGCATCCGCAGTGCCAGAGAGAGCGCACCAGAAGAGGCAGCAGATTTTTTGTCCGAAGCTCGAAAATCCCTTCGCTGACATAAAACCGCCCGATATTGATCCAGAAGACGAGTTCGACTTCGCTTATAACAAGGATTCGGACGAGATCTCACACACGAGAGAGTCTAGAGGAGGAGTGAAAGAAGAACATCTGCCTGCGGGAGATCATAAGGCGCACTCAAAGGATGAAGAGCTTGTTGATAACACATCATTTCATACGAACAATCAAGAGTTTGAGAACCTGCAACCATCTCCATGTGAAACCACACACGGTGATGGTCAACAAGAATGCGCTGGTCATACGCATGAAAGAGAAGATGCAATTAGGATAGATGCGTCAAAACTTTCAACAGACGAGATGAGACAGCACCTTTCCTCAGAATCGAAGTTTTGTGAACGGCACCCGCCTGAAGCTCAAAATGCAAACGAAGAAGCCAAAAGTCCCAGCAGATTTCTGGATGAGTCGAAGTTTGACGAGTTTTTGAAGAAGGTGAAATGATGACTTCTGCTCTGAGTGTTAGACTGATGCTTGTACCCAGCATGGGCTCAAACGGGAGATGACTTTCAGAGTCCAACGTGAAGAATTCCCGGACTCAATCTTGCAAGAGGAAAACGAGCAACTCAAAGACTTTGTAGAAGTGATGAGAGCAAATTATGCAATGCCCGGAGAAACAGACCCAGAGAAAAATCCACCAGAGCTCCGCTCGCAAGAAAGTTTCACTGAGAAAGTGGAAAATTTCCATCTTCCACAACGTTTTGAGGTGAATGGTACAAACCAGACGAGCTTCAGTTCTGCAGCAGTCTCTACCATACCAAGCAAGACCGGATCTAGCAGACTGCAAGTGAAAGAGCTCGTAGAGAACTTGAGGAAGTATTACTTGGTCTTCAATGCTTCAAAGGTGGAGAGTGCGGAACAGATTGCTTCGATCTTCGTACACAAGATGGACCAGCTGGATGAAATGCTGCTAGACAAGTGACATCATAGTATCTCTGGCTCTGACGACTGAAACTTATGCAGATATGGGGTAAGTCTGACAGATTTCATGAACGAGGATGACTCCCAAGCGAAGAATGCAACTATGAATGAACAGCAAGCACAAGGCTCCAAAGCGAGCGATAAAACAAATCGCATGCTTGCAGAAGCATACATCGAAGGAAAGGAATTGGAAAAAACAGCATCTCGAGAACAACAACAAATCGAGAAGGAAATGTGGGACATTCATCGTGCAAACATGGACAAGATCAAGTCAATGTCACAGAACGAGATAGATCAAGCAAAAGAGCAAATATCGCATGTTCATTGATTACTTCTTATCGATACAAATATTCTGAAATTTGCACAGAACCTAAGCCCAGAAATGATACAGCTCCTTGAAAAGAGAGCTCGGAAAAGATTGCAGGTAGAAATTTGAATCTTCTCTGTGCTGGTAGTATGTAACTCAGATTTGGTCAGAATATCAAGAATATGACGATAGACGATCAACCAAAAGAGCAACTCGCTGCAGACGAAGAGCGTAGAGAAGGTCTGGTCTCCTGCTGTCAATTTCTCAGGGTCCTGAAGCCATTCGCGTGAACAGAATTGGAGAAGGAGCTTGGTCCGTTGTTCCAAATCGGGGCATCCCCTGATGGCCCATGGTTCTCACGAACAGTTTGCCTTCATTTCGCTCCCTCACACTGTCCTCCCTTGTGTTGCTCTGCAGGAGCACCGACGAGGATGGAACGAGAAGGACAACGCTGGTCAAAGAGCAGGTCGACTTTCATGCTGCATGGCCAGGACTGAGACGAGAATCAGGAGGCGGAGGTGGCAAGAATGTATGAGGGCGTTCTCAATATCAATCCAAACGACTTTGCCATGATCATGAAAGTGAGAGAGGAAAGATCGACCTTCAAGGACAGTGCTGATGCCCTCCCTTTTCAGTATGCTCGTTTCGAGAAGGAAGAACGACACATGATGAGGCATGCGATCGATCTCTTTGAAGACGCGCTCAGGTTGATCCCGAACGACGTTGAAGCGCTAAGGTAGTTCGATTGTCGTTGAGTTTTCGTACGCTTACAAGTATTTCCGTGTAGTGAGTACGGCGAACTTATGAATGAGTTCCGAAGAAAACCTGCGGAATCACAGGTAGTGGATGGTGGAAGATGTGGAGGAAGAGAGGGATGGAGAGGAGGGGGAAGGGAGAAAGGGAGGAGAGAGGGAGGGATTTATCCGCTGGAACCAATGAAAATTCCCCAAGGAAATCTTTGAAGCCGTACTCGATCAAAATCCATCACACTGCATGACGTTGGTGAGGTAAAACGTAAACTCTGTATGGTTTCTTTCCTTCATTGTGACTAGGTATGGAAACTTGTGCCTCAATGACTTCAAGGACTTCAAAGCTGCTTACGGGCTGTACCATTCTGCTCTCCAGGTAAGTCGAAGAGAGCGAGAAAGTAGCTGATGTTGCCGCTGATCCCTGGCAGGCTGATCCCAAAAATCACCGGGCGCATTATGGAATGGCTTACTTGCACCAGCAACTTGGGAACAGAACGAAAGCTGCGCATCACTACGAGCTTTCATTGACGTTGGGGGTTGGAGATGCGGATGGAGAGATTCTGATCCTTGCCGCAGGCTAAATCCTTCTTTCTTCCCCACGCTCGGAAACTATGCATCGATGCTCTATTTGGATCACGTGGACAAGCGTATGGGCAAGAAGATCACAGATGATATCAAGCGAGCCGCAAAGTTGTACGAGACTGCTACCTTGCTGCAGCCCTCCAACACAGCAAACCTTCTGAATTATGGCATGTTGCTAGAGGTTGATTGAGTGGGGGAGGGAGCAATACCTGTCTTGTGATCGTTTCTTTTTTGCGAAGAATGTTTTTGGCGAGGAAGTGAAGGCTGAGTTTCTTTACCGGACGGCCCTCACCCTCGAAGAGACAAACTGTGACGCAATCTGCATGGTGACGACACTTTCCTACGTCCACTCACCGCTGACTGCTTGCTTGCAGCTGTCAAAGTTAATTTTCAAGGGAAAAGAAGACGTTGGCGAGGTTCAGTCGCTGCTTTATCAGGTGAGCTCCAGCTGGGCTATGCAGGCTCACCTAATCCTTTCACCTGCAAGGCGCTGGAGACCAACCCCTCGCATGTCCAGACGCTGCTTCGTCTCGGCGAGCTCTACCACAACCATCTCACCAACATGTCAAACCACAAAATACAGGCGAAGGAGGCAAACCCCAGAATCTCTGCTAGCGCCCAGCTGACCAACTCTCAACAGTTCTACGAGTCGGCTCTCCAGCTAGACCCCAACAACGTCGACGTGCTCAACAGCCTTGCTACCTTGTACGCGGAGATGGACAGCAGCGATCTGAACTACACGTGCTCAGCAGAGGAAAGAGAACTCTCATGCAGTAATCTCTGAGCTGACAGCCCAGCAGGATTGCCTGATGAAGGCCTACGAGCTCGCTCCTACAGATCCTGACACAGGTCCACTTCCTCTTCTTCCCTTCCTCCTCCTCCTCCTCCTCCTCCTCCTCCTCCTCCTCCTTCACAACAACAACAACAACAACAACAACAACAACAACAACAACAACAACAACAACAACAACAACAACAACAACAACAACAACAACAACAACAACAACAACAACAACAACAACAACAACAACAACAACAACAACAACAACAACAACAACAACAACAACAAGGGGTTGACTTGATTGTAATTACTGCAGTCTTGAACATCGGGTCATACATGATGGACAGCAAGCAGGACATGCCGACAGCGAAGCGGTGAAGATGACATGGCAATGTGTCCCCTTCACACCCTCCTTCGCAGGTTGTTCCGGCAAGCTCTCAAGCTGCAGCCCGATCACCCTGGGGCTCTGTGCTACAACGCGCTGGCGGAGGCGCTCACGGGAAGGAATTTCACCCTCGCGTACTTCCTGATGGACAGGGCAAGGGCCTTGGCTCCCAACGAGATTCACATCCAAGAGGTCAGGACGGTTAGTGAGGCTGATGGTGGTCTGAGACACTTGCAGGCGCTGCTTTCTTTGGACACCCTCGCAATGAAGGAGCGGTGGGATCCAACGTCCTCCTCGAAGAACAATCCTCCGTCGCTCTACGTCGCATCGATCCCCGTGTCAGGAAAGTCCAAAAGTGACCCTTCCTCGTCGGGAAACCAGACTTCAAGTTCACAAGGGAAGGGCAAGGCAGAGAACAAGAGCGAGGAGAAGTTGGAGTTTGAGGGTCCTCGCAGGGGCTATTACTATGAGGTACCTCGTCATGCAAATCACTCCGTCCTTCTGCCGTCCTTGCATCTTTTCCTCCTCGCACATCCTTCCCCCCTCCCCCCCCCCTCCTCCCATCCATCTAACTTCCTACCTCGACCCTTTCTCCACTCATGCGACTTGCTTCCAGGAGCTTGGCAACCTCAGGCAGATTCCGTCTGACATTCCAGACGGGAGCGACTTGACGTGCGTAATCCCTTTGCTTATTCATAATCCTGACCGAGGTCCACCAGGGATCCTCGTCACGAGTGGAATCAATTTTAACTGCCATCACCGTGTACATAGAAAGTCAGGGCATCGACCGTTCTTCTTGAAATTTATTGTTTTCATCTAAGTCAGGACCTTCTCCTCCTCCCCCTTTCCTCTCCGCCTCATCAAGAGGGCATCAGGTTGAACTCGTTATAAGCGGTTCCTCCTCCCTTGTACCGAACCTGCAGCAGCCGTTGAGACCACAACAGAGGGTCAGGGGAGCGAGCGAGCGCAACCTGCATCTTGAAGGGGATAGAAGCCGGATAGATGCACTTGGTCGTGTTGGCAAAGTGAGTCTGCGGGGCTCCCACGTCCTCCAACATCTGCCTCCGGGCCATCAGGCCGCTATCATTCCTCGACATGAAGTCGACGAATCTTCTGCCTGGGACGTGCTGCTCGTGATGTCAGCGCGCTGCTCTCCGACTCAGGGCGACTCACCTTGGTGCATCCAGTGACCATGGAGTACTTTTGCTGATGCAAGCGCAAGGGATTACTCTGCCTGCAAGTCGTCCTCCACAAAGATCGAACTTACCAGGTTGAGAAGGTACGTGGGACGTGTTGGAACGAATCTCAATGTCATCGGCTGGGGGCCAAGTAGCGCCTGTTGCCCCTCCCCGCCCTCCTCCACCAGCGCCTGTCTCGATGCCATGTTGAACCCGAGCTCGTGCCCAACTCTTGACCGGCTCAGCCCTGCGAGCAGAGTTCAGTCCTCCCGCCCCTCCCCCACTGCGAAGCAGCACCGGCGGGACGCGTCTCGTATCTTTGACGGCTGATGCTCAGCGCGCTGGTGGGACGAGAGTCTCGTTGGAGAGGAAGGAGGTCAGGAGCTGAGTGCCAAGACATGCTAGACGCAGGCCTCGTCCACGACAGTTGGCTATTGGGACGGGAAGAGCCGACCTTGAAAGATTTGCTCTGAGAAGCGCTGAAGAGATCGTCTTGAGTGGGTGGTCTCGTGAGCACTGCCTGCTCCTCCATCATGGACGCTCTGCTCTTGGACCTGCTCACAGTTCTGCGCAAGGCAGATTCGCAGTAGACGCCTTGCTGGTAAATGGGCTGTTTTGTGGTCATTTGAGTTGCCCATATCGAAGCTGGAGGAGGAAGGGGAAGGGAGGAGAGGAGAGGTCACTCGAACTTCAGGAGGATCATATTACTTCACCTGCTGTCTGCGAACGTCGTGAAGTGAACTCAGTCACGGTGGGCCGGTCTCTCCCCTGACTCTTGAAAATGTACGACATGGCGTTTCTGCACGATTTCCTGGCGGTGCCTGCATGAGAGGGCACGATCGATAATCAGGAAGGAATCGATTTCATCCTTCTATCTCAAGGATTTCATCTCGTGCATCAAGCAAGAGACTTTCATGGATCCTTTGATACAACCCCAACCATACATCCTCCTCTATCGTCGATGTCCTATTACTTTGTCCCGATACTTCTCCCCTCCTCTCCTCTCCTCCCCAAGCCTCGCCTCTCCCAATCTCCAAACTACCTCAGCAAACATTGCAGGCTGTGCCCTCCCTCCCTCCCTCATTATCTACCTACAATAAAAGTATATGGAGGGGGGGGTGTGGTATCGAGAGCGTCGGCAGTGCAATAGGAGAGTTGCCCGGTATGTGTAAAGGCAAATTACCCCCGATGTTTCCTGGAGCTCCGCCCCATGCGAAGACACCAAGTCTTGGGATACCT